TACCTTTTGTGCTTTTTTTTTATTTTTTTAATTCCACTTTAAAGTGGGGGGCGGTGAGGATCGAACTTGTGACCTTGTAGTCACTCAAGCTCTGATACCATGAAAGAACATTGGGATACACCACCCCAAAAACTAGCTCAAATGGTGGGAGTGCCCAAGGCCTTATAAAGGCCACATTAGTTGCCCACACAATCAATGTGAGACTATATATCTCAACACGCCCACTCACGCAAGAGCCCTTTGGGCTAGAAGCGTGAATATTGCACAGGCCCAATTTTTGGTTTACCTTTTGTGCTTTTTTTTTAATAATGAGGACTCTTACCTACTCCATCACAAGTATCACAATTGGATTGGTATCCAGATTCAGGTGCATCACACCATGTAACAGCTGAACCTCACAATTTGTTCCAGAGCTCTCAACTGTCAGGTTCTGATCAGATTTTCATTGGCAATGGTCAAGGTCTGGATATTCAAGCTATTGGTTCCTCTCATTTCTCATCTCCCTTTAATCCACACACAAATCTTTTTCTTCACAATTTGCTTCTTGTACTTTCTATTACCAAAAACTTAGTCAGTATTAGCAAGTTTGCAAAAGATAACAATGTGTATTTTGAGTTTCACCTATCCTTATGTTATGTCAAATCACAGGAATCACATGAGGTACTACTTGAAGGTGCATTAGGGACTGATGGACTGTATAAGTTCAATGGTGTTCAACTTCCTCATTCTTCAAGACAAATTAGGCAGCATAGTAATTCAGTGTCTCCTATTAATCCTGTTTGTAATCCTACTTGTACTCCAAATTTGTTTTCTGATTTGAATTCTATTGTTGTACCATCTCAGTGTGATAATACCACTGAATCTGTAAATAAAAAAGCAGTAGAATCAAACTACTTGTACAACCTCTGGCATTGTCGTTTAGGACATCCTCATAATGAGGCACTTAAAAATGTCCTACACTCTTGTAATATCTCCATTCCTAATAAAGATCATTCATTTTTCTGTTCTGCTTGTTGTTTGGGAAAGGCTCACAGATTACCATCTACTTTATCTACCACCAAGTATAACAAACCCTTTGACCTCATATACAGTGACCTATAGGGTCCAGCTCCAATTAAATCCACCATGGGATATACCTACTACATGTCTTTTGTTGATGCTCATAGCAGATTCACTTGGATCTATCCTTTAAAACAAAAGTCAGAAGCACTTCTCACCTTCAAACAGTTCAATGCTCTCATTTCTAATCAATTTCAAATAACAATCAAAGCCATCCAAACAGATTGGGGAGGTGAATTTCGCCCCTTTACTCAACTTGTTCAGCAGTTAGGAATAATTCATAGAATTGCTTGTCCTCATACCCATAATCAAAATGGGGTAGTTGAAAGAAAGCACCGTCACATTGTTGAAACAAGTCTAATTCTTCTTGCACATGCTTCCCTACCACTAAAATTTTGGGATCATGCTTTCATATCAGCTGTATATCTCATCAATTGTCTTCCTACTTCTTCTTTGAATTTCGAAGTACCATTTACCAAGCTGCTCAAAGTTACACCTGACTACAAGTTCCTCAAGGTGTTTGGATGCACATGCTTTCCTTTTCTTCGACCCTATAACCACCATAAAATTGATTTTAAATCCAGAGAATGTGTCTTTCTTGGGTATTCACCACATCACAAAGGATACAAGTGTCTCAACTCTGATGGGAGGTTGTTCATCTCCAAGGATGTCTTGTTTAATGAAAACAAATTTCCTTACCCTTCATGGTTTAAATCTGACTTCTCTTCCTCTCACACTTCTAGTTCTTTTGTTAATAATGTCATACCTCTTGTAACTCACAGTCCATCAGTCACAGCATCACAGTTTTCCATGATTAACTTCAACACTGACTGCATACCTGCCACAAATGCCTCATGTCCTGTTACCACCTCTAACTCAGATTCAAATAACTCATCCTCTCATCTTTCCCATACTGAACCACAAATTAATCCTATACCTCAGCTTCCATCATCTCAATTTTCCCTTACAGAACCATCTCCAACCCCATGTGATGTTCCTTCTCTGCCTGCAACTGGTCCTGCAAGACATTCCACCCGATCCTTGCATCCCCCATCCTACCTCAAAGACTACCATTGTAATCTGGCCTCAAGCTCTATTACTTCAAAACCACATTTCATGACAACATCTCTTGAACCAAGCTCAATTAAACAGGCCTTGGCAACCCCTCACTGGTTCTCAGCAATGCAAGCTGAGTATGATGCTCTTCAAGCAAATGATACTTGGACTTTAGTTCCTCTTCCACCCGACAGAAGTGCAATAGGATGCAAGTGGGTTTTTTGTGTGAAAGAAAATCCAGATGGAAGCATAAATAAGTACAAGGCAAGGCTTGTTGCCAAAGGATTCCACTAACAAGCAAGATTTGATTATAATGAAACCTTCTCACCAATGGTTAAACCTATAACAATTCGAATCATTCTTACAATAGTTGTATCCTATGGTTGGTCACTAAGACAACTTGATGTTAATAATGCCTTTCTTAATGGCATTCTTGAGGAGGAGGTTTATATGCAACAGCCCCCTGGATTCACATCTAATGACAAGTCTCTTGTTTGTAGGTTAAAGAAATCTCTTTATGGGCTAAAACAAGCACCAAGGGCTTGGTTTGATAAATTGAAAGGAGGACTATTGTAGCTAGGATTTTTTGGCAGCAAGTGTGATCCTTCCTTATTCATTCATCGCAGCAATGGACAATGTGTCTTCATGCTCGTTTATGTAGATGATATTATTATCACTGGAAGTAATGCTCTTCTTGTTTAGAATCTGATTACTCAACTTAATTCTCTGTTTGCACTCAAAGATCTTGGTGATCTTGACTATTTCTTAGGTATTGAGGTCAAAAGAGCAAATTCTTGTGCTATTTTTCTCTCTCAGTCTAAGTATATCAAAGACCTACTAGTCAAGGCTCATATGGCAGAAGCAAAAGGCATCTCAACTCCCATGCCAACCGGATGCAAATTGTCCAAAAATGGATCAAACTACTATTCTGACTCATTCCATTTTCGCTCCATTGTTGGGGCACTGCAGTATGCCACCTTGACCAGACCAGAGATCAGTTATACTGTCAATAAGATGTGTCAATTCATGTCCCAACCTTTGGAAGAACATTGGACCATTGTTAAACGCATTCTTCGTTACTTAAAGAGCACCCTTGCACATGGATTGATGCTGCAACCCAGTCATCCTAGCAACCACTTCTCTATCACTGCATATTGTGATGCAGACTAGGCCTCTGATCCAGACGATCGCCGATCCACCTCTGGAGCCTGTGTTTACTTTGGAGCCAACCTTGTCTCTTGGTGGTCAAAGAAACAAACAGTTGTAGCACGTTCTAGCACTGAGGCAGAATATAGAAGTCTTGCACTTGCCACTGCTGAGATTCTTTGGTTAAAATCCTTACTTAAAGAGCTGCACATTCAGTTTAACACTCCTCTTATCTACTGTGATAATCTAAACACAGTTGCCTTATCTTACAATCCAGTCTTGCATGCTCGTACAAAGCATATGGAACTCGATATCTTCTTTGTGAGAGAAAAAGTGATTGCTAAAGAATTACAAGTTCTTCATGTTCCAGCAGTAGATCAAATTGCTGATACTCTCACTAAGCCTCTTGGAGCTCCCAGATTTACCTCTCTTCGTGACAAACTCAGAGTTGTTGATTATGCATCCTTCAATCACAGACTGACAGACTCTGAGTTTGAGGGGGTGTATTAGCACTGCTTCTGTTTTAGCTTAGCTTATTTTGTAATTAGCTTTTAATCTTCATTTACAGCTGTCAAGTGGTTAGCTTTCTGTTAGGCTTTCAGTTACAGATGTCATCTCATATGGGTGCTGAGTTGCTGAGTCACTCACTTTCTATTCTGTATATAAGAACAATTCTTTGTATCACATAATTCAGTTAATTCATTACATGCAAATTCAATCGTTTCTTCTCTGTTCTCTTCTCTTCCCAATTCTCTTTCACCTTCCTTCATTTCTTTGAGTGCCCAATAGATGATACTGTTTAGTTGGTTCTCTCCAATTGACGCTCAAGTCTAACTTCAATTGATTGCCAATTCAGTGAGATGCAACCCTAAGTATAGCCTATGAGTGATTAGATGAAATCATCATAATTACAAATACACAATTTGAAAACTTTCGATGCATTAATCCCTTTTAACATTGAGGAGTAATTTTTGTTAACTTCATTCATTCCATGCACCTTAATTCCAACCAATGGCAACATGCGCCTTCACAATCGACATTATAAATATGTGACTACGTTGAAAGTCAAAAATATTCAATTAATACAAGAGTATATATTGACTCATTACACTCTAGTATATTGACTCTAGACAAGCTAAACCTGGGCCAAAAAGAAAATAACCTGTATTTCTTATTAGAGGAGAGATATTCTTACTATCAAAAATTTTCACTATCAACTTACTACCTATCTAATCATCATTGGATTAACATTTTCTCCCTCTTCAAAAACTTTTTAACATTCTCTCTCTTTGATCGAATGATAATTAGATGGGTAATAAGTTGATAATGAAAATTTTGAGTAATAAGAATATCCCTCCTCTTCTTATTAAGAGGATCTTGAATTAAGACTAAAGCGAATAATTCATGTGAGTAACACAAATAAGTAACAGAAACCTCTCGCTTAAAATTAGTCAAGTTTATCACTTAGTCTTACTCCATTCTAGCGATCCTTTGCGTGTCAGATCAATGCTCCATTGAAATACAAAGCAAATATTAAGTCCAATTAACAGGAAAGATAACATGCTGCCCCTCATGGTATAAATTATAGTCGAGCATGGTCGAGCCAGCTGCAAGTAATACTACCTGCCCTATAAACTATTTTAGAATCAATTAACACCATTAGTAAAGGAATTAATCAAAACCTAAAATTTCAACCAACTAAAACCAATTTCGTTGGTATCAAAATTCCAGAAAAAAGAAAAGAAAAGTGTTCTACACGTAATGCAGCTAAGAAAGTGAACTGTTAGAATTCAAATGATTACCCCTAACACCACTTTCAGCAATGTCCCCCATAAATTAAAGCTAGGTGTAAATGTTGACATCAGGACAGAAAATACAGCCTGTTCTCTATGTAACCTTACCAGTTACCAACATAAATATAGTTGGACAAAGACAAGAAACAACTGGTGTGGGGCTTCGAACTAATGTTAGCTAACAAAACCACCTCATAACAGGTAACACACCTGAATCTTCTCTTAATCTATACATCCACCATGAACATATTCTGAAGAAGCCTTCATAATGATGTTTATCCAGAGCTTCGCTGGCTTTCTTCCCATTACTTTTTATTATAGCAGCGAATCACAGAGGACGGCTTAACATCTCTCTTTCTTTTTCTATTTTCTTTTTTCTTTTTTACATTTTTCTTCTGTCGATTAGGTGAGTAACTCTGATTTCATTAAGTTATAACATTTAAAATATAGGCCAAGCTGGTACTAGCAAATAGTTAGGCCCAACTTCATAATGGCCGAAGAAAAATAGTTACAAGCACCTTAATATCATCTACGGCTGAAAAACATGAAATCTGGGTGATTGACCTGAAGCAGTCTTAACCAACCGTCAGCAGCCTGCACAAGAGAGGTAGCTAGTTGGCGCTCAAATCCACCATTAGGAGTCCACAGAGATCCTTTGAACTTGTACGAAGCAAAACCAAAAGCAGGTAAGGACATCTTAGGGACACCATCCATATCACTAGGGTATGACACTACAGGAGCTTGCACTCTTGGTAAACCTGAAAGGAATAATGCTCCATTAAAGCCAACTGATGAAAAACAAAAAAGCGGACAACTGGTTCTCAAAGACAGACAATTGCATCCCATAATAATTAAGCTCCAGAAATCATTACTATGCACCTAGAACTGGCTATGTATGCTTAAATAGAAATATTGCCCAAGATAAAAATTAAGATTTTGCAGTAGAAGTTGAGGGCAAGTGAAGAATCCCGCTAATCCAAATGACATAATAAGAATTTTAAATGCAGAGAGACAGAAAGAATACATTTTACAATTTTATTAGGAATAAATTGACCACAAATTTAACTGTGCATTATCAGGACCAAGTTTGTTAAGCAGATAATGATGTGTTGCGGTAATCATTCATGCATCTCAAGACCAAACAGAGGAAGAAAGATCAATTATTAGTTCCCAAGGAATTACCAAATAGCCATATACTTAAATGATTTTGAACCAAGGAAGGTTGAAGATATGGCTTTTGGATATCAGGTATACTGATATCTATAGAGGGGGAAGGAGATATTCTAAAATAATTTAATACTCGGAGTAAGTCTATAAATAACATATCAGGAACTAGTTAATGATTCCTGCTAACAGCCTATAAATGTAACAACAATCTTTTGGCTCAAACTAAAGTACACTGTAATTTTTCTCAAACTTTATTATAAAGCAAAGTCCAGCACAACAGAAATGAAGTAAAAACCCATCCTACCTCCCATAGATGTATAAAGAGAGTGGTATGTCAAAAAGCAAGCATCAAGATCTTTCAATGTTGGACCAGTCGGTATCCTGTAAATCGGATACCTACAAGTAAAGCATACAAAAGATCAGTCCCTTATATACCTAAAAGCTGAAAAATCAAAGCACCGAAGTATAGAAAAATACCATGCAACAGATATCCAACTAGATGGTAGTATATCACAACTTCTAAGTGTTGCCAGCTCAGGAAAACGGAATGCAAGGTCCAATATCTGTCCCCATACACAACAGCAAATATAATCAAAAGGCTAAACAAGAAAGAATAGTGATCATAAATGACCAGAAATATGTTTCAGTAAAACTGAAGAAGGTAATGATGGGACAATGAAGAGAGATTAAGCGCACTTTATCAGCCAAAGGCTCACGGCTGTAAGGAGGGTCCTGTTCAAGATACTCAAAAAGTAGGTAGCCCTGAGAATTGACAGATTCACCATCATCACTAGAAAAGACATCTTGAGGGACAGTAGGGTGGTCTCTCAAAGATAATCTGTCCATCCAATGAGGTACCTCATCTGACAGATGGAGAAGATTCCTATGCTCACTTAAGCATTTAAATCCTCTTTCAGGTTCACAATCACTGCTACCATCACTACTGGAGTCCCTGAAATCACTGTCGCTGTCCTCGCCTCGTTGCCTACCAAAATGGTATTATTGTCACACACAAAACTGAGAACAATGCAGTGCTGAAACATAAGCACCACATGCAAATTTCACATAAACAAAAACTAATAATAGTTATTCGTTAGCTTAAATTATCCAACTGAGTAAATGCCAATACTATGCAAATTTGTAAGCACCAATAACATCATGATCTGAATTCCAAGCAATAAAAAAGAACAAGAATGAGCTTAAATAAATCCTGCAATATACTGAAAATCCATAAGGAACTTGCTATCAAAATTTTAAACATTGTCTACCGAAATCTTCTGTATTGTTGCCTTGCATTTAGATTCACACGTTTCAAATAGTGCAAAGATATTAAATACCTCAAAGACAGAAATACTTTTTAAGCAATATATATATATATATATATATATATATAACTTAACAGTAAGCAAAAAGAAACAACCCAATAAAGTATGAAGTGAACGAAGGAAAAAATGATCAATAGAAGGCAGCCACAAAAAAGCACAAACAACTGCTTCTAAGAACACATTGGCATAAACAACCACAATAATTATGGTTACAAATTAATATCTAATATTTCCAGTGCAAGAGATAAACAAAGTCAAGCTGTCATAAGAGATCAAATTGAAAGGAATTATATCCATAATGATGAAGCATACTTACGAGAGCCTCTGTAAGCATATTAAAATAGTATACAACATTGAAGTGCTGAAAAAATTTATCAAAACAATTTCACAGTTCTTGTTCAGAAAAACTACATTTTAGCATTCTACGGTACTACATTTTAAGTTCCAAAAACAAGCCAATACCATAATAATTTTTCAGACAGGAAAACAAGAAGAAAAATGCTTTGGCACACACACAAATGCATAACGTTATCATATCAAAGTGATCAAGAAACAGAAGGAGGCAGGGTATGCCAATCCCCTGCAGAAACTTTTAAATCTTAACCAAGTTAAAGAAGTATTTAGTTGTATAAGCCTATAAGGTAAATATTTACACCAAAAAAGCACAAATACACCCAACCAGCTAATGTTATCACCAAATTTTATGTCAAAGAAAATTAGTTAACAAAAAATAGGGTCAAAAGAAAGCAGTATACCTTGACTGTAAAGAAGGCTTAACAGTTGTGGCATATATTTGAATTCCAGAAAGATAGGGGACATAATATTGAACAACACTATCATTGTCATTCAGCACAAGTGGCACTCCAGCACCATATGCACTCCACTCCCTGAAAGATTCCCATAGATCACCAAGAACAAAGTATGGCTGAAACTCCACATTACTCATATGAAATCCTCGCATGGACCTCTGTAATATTCAATTTACAATCAAAATTGAAGGATAACCAGTGTACAACAACCTAGTTCCCCAAGATCAAAATATGAAACACATTTAATTCATTTTCTATAATATATATATATATAGGGGTTTATATTTCTGCAGCTACTGTACGTAGCAATCAAATACTTGCCATATATATACTTGAAAATATTAAATGCGGAGAATCATAACCATACAAAGGATGAAAGCATTAAATGTGGGGAATCATAACCATACACCTGTCGTTGTTGTACGTAAAGCGGTTGTAGAAATGATTTTACCATATATATATATGTATTTGTATTAATTTTTCTTATTTAATATTTATTTTTTCTTAATCTGTTCTTGCTTTTACATGGATTCATTGATTGTGTACCCAACTAATTAGGGATAAGGGCAATGTTAAAAGTGGTGGATGTTCATAGCTGTCATCATTCCATTTTCCTTTTCTTCGGATAGTAACCACCCAGAAGTGATATAGCAAACAAAAAAGGAAAAAATTGAGAATTTATCATGTAACCTTTTTATCAATCCTTATTAATATTTATAAACATTTTATACATCTCCCAATTTAGAAACCAAAAATTAACCTTTCCTTTCCTTCCCTACCCTTCCCCTCCAAAATTGATACCTAAAAAATAAAGAGTCCAACCAATAAAAGGGTACCCCTATTGAGTCACAAACATAGAAGTAAATTTTAACGAACCAAACAAGTACTAGACAACAATAAATAACTAAACAAAATAAATGCGAATCCTTCACTAGCCCAACCCAGCTTCAACTTTCAACAACACTCTCTAGCGACCAAAAAAAACTAGGATTCCAAGTTTATTTTTTTAAATGATATAAAATTGTGTTCTTTTAAGTGAAAGAAAAAGATACACAATGAAAATCAAGAATAAAGAAAGTAAGTAATTTTTTTTTTAATTTAAATTTTAAACAAAAAATACTAATTTTAACTAAAATTACTGTCATTTCTCAAAAAAACTAATAAACAAAGTGCATTACACAGAAAAACCAAAAAAACCAAGCGTTGCCAGCAACAAAAAAGTTTAAACAAAAACCAGACCTTAGATAAATACTGAGCAGGCACAGAAGGCGTAATTGCCTGCAAGAACCGCTCGAGATTACTCAACCGGTTCGACGCCGGTTCACAAGACGGCACGGCAACGGTCTTCTTCGGCTCATCAGAACCAGTCCGGTCCTCCGGCTCCCTGATCGATTTCTCTCTGGCCGATCGGCTCGCCGTGACGTCACTGTGAGCTCTACGCAGTATATCGTTGTCAACACTGTGCATGAACCGGCGCGCCTGAACCGGTTTGTAGAACCGGTCCTCTCCGCGGCCACGAGCGTAGTGTAACCCACTAGTACCCAACATTCCTATAACACAATCGAAAGTCGAAACCTCCAAAAAAAGAATACTTCTTTATCTGGTTTTCGATAAACCCTGAATGTGGTCAACGATTTTGGATAAGCTTCGTTTAATAATTATTTATTTAATGTTTTGAGATTGTTCGGAAGCAATTTGATTGGAGGAATGAGGATCTGTTTGGTTATGGGTTTTGGGGGGAAATTTGGGGGTTTTGATTATGGTTTGGATGTTTGGGTTGAATTAAAGGGGGGAAAGGGTAAACACCCGAAGGTGTATGGAGGAAGAAAATGGATCTGTTTGGAGAGTGCAGTAAGGTTTGGGAGGAAGAACAAAGAGCAAAAGGATAATTTGATGAAAGGGGGAAGAAAAATACAGAGAGGGTTGGAAGAATGCGAAGGGAATGAAATAAAATGAAGCAGAATCAATGGAGGAAAATGGAAAGACAAATACTAACGTAGCAGGTTCCGAATAACGGATGTGCATACAGGTAGAAAACCATTTCTTTTCTTTCTTTTTTCTTTTAAAAACCAAATTGAATTTTGATTTATTCTTAGTTTTAAACGTGGGAAATAATTATATCATGTTGCTGAGATAATTATTTCATACAACAGAGACAAAACAATGGAGTCCATTATTTCATTCTATTTTTTCAAAAAAGTAGTGGACCCCGCTATCTTGTCTCTGTTGCATGAGATAATTATCTCATGCAACATGAGATTAATAGATTCTTTTAAACCAATGTTATTAAACCTCACTCCGTTATTGACTCAGTTGAGGTTCTAGGTCACTGGTTCAACCACATGACCCGATAAATATATATAAATCTACAATTTATATTAAAAAAGCTATAAATATACTTAAATACTTGTAATGTAAAAAATATACCAATTTCAAATATTTTAATATGAAAATAATAAAGTACACATCATTGTCCAACAAAAGATCAATCAAACATATAATATTCGTGATACTAGTGTTTCAGGTTCAGTAAACGACATCTCTAACTATAAATCAAATTAAAAAAAAAAACATTTGTATAAAAGGCCGTATATGTAAGTTAATAGGCTACAAATCACTCAAATATTTCAAAAACAACAAATCATTTGTATTTGAGAGTAAAAAAAAAAAGACATTAATTTGTGAAAATAAATTAGTTTTTTTAATAGACTGGGTCGGGTCACCGGTTGAACCGATCGGGTCATCGATTTTTACGAAAATAGGTCGGGTCGCACTGGGTCACATCGGTTCTGTAACATGGTCGGTCCAATATGAAAACCAGACCGGGTTACATGATCGGTTCACCGGTTTCCGAGTCGACCCGGCCGGGTCGGTCCGGTTTTTATAACATTGCTTTAAACATTTAAAGCAATCTTATTAAAAATGATCCCATCAGTCACCCGGTCGAGGCATTGGATCATAGAGTTATTGGTTAACTAGTGGGTTATTGGTTGAATCGCATAATCCATTGATTATATTTATATTAAAAAATCATAAACATACTCAATAACTAAAAAAAAGGTAAATTCTAAATATTTTAATGTAAAAAATAATAAATTATATATTATTACCAATAAAGAATCAAATTAACATATAATAAACATATAATGCTTGTGTTCAATAAACGATATCTCTAATTATAAATCAAATTAAAATTCTCTACATAGTGCATAATTAAGATAATATTAGAATTGTAGGTATATAACATATGTAAGTCAATAAGTAACAGATCACTCAAATATATCAATTATAATTTTTTCTAAATTAACTGGGTCAGGTTATCGATTTTCATCTAAATTTGTCGGGTCGCATCCGGGTCCAATTCATGGCCGAGCAGTTGCTTTAACCAAATCTATTATATGACTAGTTCATCGATTTCGATCCTGTCCAAGTTTATTAACAATGATTTAAAGATGGTTTTAGATTAAGAAAAAAAACAGATTTCAAAACTTAAATTTGGTTTATATTTGTCTTTTGATTTAGAAGTTCTATTTGGAATTTGAAAACACAAATATAGTTTAGATTGGGTGAGTTATTAATTTTAACTAAAAAAAAAAAACCAAAGTTAACCTATTGATTTTAGAATTTAATAATCTATATATGGAGCGACCATTATATTATTATCAAATGATATGTTAGTATGTTATTTAATAAGTTTAATAAAAAGCAAGTTATCATACTTTTAAATAATTTGAAAATATAATTTTTAATATTAGGGTCAAGAAAATTCACACTTAATTGTTTTGGACCCACCATGCACCATCATCTGTTCAGTGATGCACGAACACGGGACACGACACGACACGCCGACACGTTAATTCTAAAAAATTAATGTCATATTTCAAGATGTTGGGACAAGTTTTGATATTAAATAAAAATTTTAATATATATAATATAATTTATACTTAATACATATAAGAGTCCACAATAAGTCATATAACCAATCAAATATTTAAATTTCATAACATAAATATAAATATAAATAATTTTTCGTACTTTGTTAAATTTTCATGTAAAATTTCGTAACAGAAAAAAATTAATTTATAAATTATTTCTTTTATATTTAGTTAACAAAATAAAATTAATATTTTTTAAAAAAAAAAAACGTTTCCGAGCGTATCCGAAAAAGTTGATCACGTGTCAGAGAGTTGACCGCGTGTCCTCAAATATTGACCGCATGTCGAACACGTGTCCGAGCATGCCCAGCATGCAATTTTTTTTTCAAATGTCATGTCCGTGCTTTGAAGCATCTGTTAGTGCCAAACTAATAATAGACTAGAATAACCATCAAGGAAATGGCCTACATACTTAGGGGTGAGAAAAATTAATCTTACTTAATAAAAAAGTTTAAAGAGGTCTCTTGAGAGAGAGAAAAAAACAATTTAATTCAACTTTCAGGGTAATGAAAAAAATCCCAAAACTATTTTCTTATGTTATGATTTTTTTTTCTATTTTTTTTATCTAATTATCTTTAAATATTTAAACATATTTTTAAGGACGAGGTTATTCTTTTTTTTTCTTATAATATCTTATTATTAAATCTTAACCGTTAATTTTCGTAATATTATGATTATACTTTATTGAGTCATATTTATTAATTAATTATTAATTCTCAATAAATTATAAATATTAGGTTGACGAAAATTAACAATTAAGATTTAATAACAAGAGGCAGTAAAAAAAATATAATAAATACAAACAAACATCATCTTTACTTTCATCTCTAACATCGTACTTGTTAGTTGTTACTCGTACTTAGATGCAGAGGTGGCAAAGTGGGCGGCCCGCCCCGTCATTAACCCGCCAAAAAATGAGTCAGTCCGTCTCGCTCCACTTTTGAAAGTGGACTCAAAAACTCAGCCCGTCCCGTCCTGTTTGGCGGGTTGAGTGAGTTGCCCCGCCAGCGCGAGCCTATTTTACACTGACCCGCCTCGATCCGCTTATGCCCGTCATTAACCTGTCAAAAAATGAACCCACCCCGCCCCGCTTTTAAAATGGGTTGAAAAACTCAACCCGACCCATTCTGTTTAGCGGGTTAGACGAGTTGACCCGCCGAGCCGAGCCCGTTTTGCCGGCTCTACTTGGATGTTAATATACACTTTTTTAGAGTTTTTGAGCCGTGTATTCCAAATCAATTTATTATTTTGAAACAAACTAAGTTGGAGTAGTAATAAATGATTTATATGGAGGGTACTTTAGAGAAACAGAGGTGGCGGATTATGCGGCTTTATCCGGGGAAAGATCAAATATTGACGAAAGCAAGCTGTGATTGGTGGAAAGGGAAGGCATTCGGATTTGTGACTAAGTTGGGGATCGATATGTTGACACCTGTATTTTGAAGAATTTAAGAAGCGTGCATGAATGAGATTGAAGGGAGTAGTAACATTGGAGAGCCTGACTATTTCTTGTCCATATTCTCGTACAATTTTTTCTCATATTACTTTGGTTTTACAAGAGTTATATCGGAAGAAAAGTGATTGTGTAATATTATAGAGATTCATTTTGTATGTCGTAATTTTTTTTTTTTCTTTTTTCTTCAAAAAATATGGATCCCACAAAATATTGTATGTATAGAAAAGTTTATTGTGTAATGTTAAATGACAAATGCAAACCCCTATTACTTAATAAAGAATAGAAACATATAATAAAATGTCATGATTATTTTACGAGTAATACTTTTTTTATGTTACATAAAAAAATTATTATCTCTTATTCAAATAATAAATAATAAAAAATTGAAAGTAAGAGAAAAATAATTTTATGAAACCCATTTGAAAAGTGTGAGTATAGAAAATAACACTCTTCTTATATAACATAAAAACATTATTCTTATTTTATAGCGTTATAATTAAATTTTTAAATATCATCTGTCCATGAAAAAAGGAATTTCCCGTGATATTTTTCTAATTCTCTCCGCGACCCCTCTTAATTTCGGTTGTTAATTTTATTTATAATTAACAATTTTAATTCTTTAGTTGGTGAGTTATTAGACACCAAGAAATCAATGGCAAAAATATATCATTTAATCCTTTGTGGTTTTAAACTTTAATTTATATTTATTATAATTACAAAATATATCACTTAGACCATTTGTAAGAAGGGAAATATTATTATAATAAAATTTAAATTTAAAATAAATAATAAATTTAAATTTAAATTAATTATTCCTATAGGTGAATATTTCATTTAAAAAATAATTTTTATAATAATTTTTGTAATATAATATAAATAAATAATTTATATTTTTGGATACACAATTTTTTGTTTAAGATAATATCTAAAATAATTTATAAATATGTAATTTTAATTTTTAATACTTAATATTATTATAATTTCAACTTATAATATGAAAATAATATAAGATAAAAATTAAGAAATATATATGTGGCATGATCATCTTATATCGGTGTAAGAATAATAAGTCTTACGTAAAATTTTAACCATTGATTCCTGTGCATTTAAACGTTATAATTTATTAAAAATTAATAATTAATTAATGAGTGTAACTCAATAAATCTCAAATGTTAAATGACCGGAAATCATCGGTTAAGATTTAAAATAAAACTTATTGTTCTTATACTCCATCCCTATAGTGCATTCTATAAGATCACAAGTTTAAGTAAAGCATTTTATAATGACAATGGGTATATATGATATTTTGAAATCACAGGGAATTAAATGATACATTTTTATAATGACAATGGCTCTTACTGACAAGCTTAAAATTACATGAGGTCAAATGATAGACTATAAAATTAGAAAGGGTGAAAATGAAGTTATTCTTTTTTTTTAATACTCATCTATTTAATTAAAATAACTTATATATGTCATCACAAAAAAATTAACGATAATTAAAATTATAAAAATCGATTCAGTTTGTAACTTTTAAAAAAGACAATACAATACTTTCTTAATCAACGCCTATTTGGCATTTACCGACCAATATTGACACACAAAAAAAAAAACAATTAATAGTAGCCAAAGTATGTATGTGTCTTTGATTTCTTGTGAGGTGGGTCGGTTCTTAGAAAAAATGTGGTGTAGAATGGAGATGAAACATGAGTAAGACCCACCACAATTCGATGCTGTTGCTCTGAAAATAACGCTTCCTTTTGTTATTCTATGTAATGATTATGAACTAACCACAACTCAAAAGCAAGATTCATTTATTCATTGCCCATTTGGCATCTTCAAAATGATAGGTTATCTGTGCATCAATCTGCACCCATCAGGATAAAAGGATAAAAAATATTCACGAAAAAGCAAAACCTACTGACGTAGAGAGTGAGTGAGAGAGAGACAGAAATATAGAAACTTGGTGACAAACATATCAAAAAGACCTTAATACAAAATATAAGCCAAGTCTACTGAAGTAGAAAAAGTTCCACATGTGTTTGGTATTTCTTAATTTTTACACAACATTTTTCAACCAAATACTCTCTTGAACATTTTGATTATATGCCTTTCAAAAGACAATAATCTAGGCAGACGCAAAATAAAAACAATTAGAGCACAGAGCATGTATTTGTAACATGCTAGACTATGATTAACTCCTCCCTATCACAGGAATATTCCTACAACACCACCATGAAGGTGCAGTAAACCAAGTGTATGCCCAATTGTCTATGTCACCATGGAAGAGAAAAAGATCACCATTCCTATTGTCAAGCCTGAAAATGCCCCAGTCTCTTCCATCAGCCTTATTGAAGCCAAGACGATATGATATACCTTTTAAATGATCAGAATCCCACTCATTCCACCAAGGAGCAGCTGGATCATTGCAGAAATATATGCTGTTGCTAACTCCAACTCCAAGTTCCTTGGCAGAGAAGGATGTTGAACAACATTTTCCCAAAAATATCATTTGATCCCCCAAATCCTCAACCTTTTTCCAAGATGACTGACAGTAATCCCATGAATATACCTCGAAATTCCAGGTCTCAAGCACCACATCTTGTTTGGCACTAAAATATCTACAAACAAGCAAAAGCTCCCCACGAGACTCCACAAGATATCTTAAAATTTGATGGTCATCATAAATCTGTAATATCTCTTGAAACACAGATATCTCGGGCCTTTTTACTTCATGAAACACTGTTTCTATCTGAGACAATGTTCCAAAACCATCATAACCTTCACTAATGCTAGAGTAGATACTTTTAACATCAATTTGCCATAAGTTAAATCCATCACCCAGGAGATAAAAACTTCCATTACAAAATACAGCATCCTCAATCGGCTGAGTCGGCTGACCTGTTAGTTTATGCTTATGCCATGACTGTGCTCCTGGAACCCAAAATGCCAGCTCCCGGTACTGGCTGTGTAGAAGCATACAAATAAAGTTATTCTCAGATGGAAGCCCAGACAGCACCATCTTGTGGTAGAAGTTCCATATTGAAGGAAGACTAATTTGCCTTCTTGAAAATGGATTCAACAAGCTAACTTCAAGAGAGAAACTGTCAAGATCTTTTACCATAATCAACCAATCATGAAATGATCCCCAACAATACTTTCCATTTGCCTCTGATAATTCCAACTCCCAAACACGATTCTCCAATATACTGATACAAGTTCTAATCTCTTTGTTTTGCTGACCTGACACCAAAAGCCAAGGAAACCCATGCCTTTGCCAAATAGGAATTTCTTCACCAAGAACGGTATTCCAACTCCTACAAACTTTGCTGATGGATAAGCAATCAATTAGAGTCAGTTTTTCAGCAACAGTCTCGATTATACCCGGAGGTAGACTCGACCAATCTGCAGAGCATTTCTTTTCAAATTCTATTTTTTTTCTCTGTCTTGTTTTTCTGCATTTGGCAATAAATCTTCTCTTGCTAGCTCCCAACAGCAATGAAGGGATACTCAACCAAGTTGCATAAAATTTCTCTTTCAATTTTCTTTTTTTATTTCTTCTTTTCATCTTTTTGGCAATAATTCTTCTGTTGATTGCTTCCAACAGCAATGGATGCATCCTGCTTGATGTTTAAGAGTGAATTAGGCATCAAATGTGCAATGAAAAGATTAATATTAGATTAGACATGCATAACAATTTCCTTAGGATGGAAGCTTGTACCAAGCTTAATGGTTTTGAAGAATACAATGGGCTTTGGTTAAATTGTCATTATTATTTTTCTCTGAGATTGATGATCGTGCTAATACATCACTACACTAATCCACATAAAACAATCAGAACTGATACAATTCCATATAAGATGTCTAATGAAATTTAGCAAGAATAATAGGAAACAGTTCCTATCTATAAGAGATTAAGAGGGATGTTGTATTGATGATGAAATTAGGACAGAATGACAGAGAAATACAGAAACAGTACTTGCTCAGTCATGGATATTCTTCGATGGGCCAAAGCTAATCGAGTCCACGGTCTCCCGACAACTTCAAGATAAAGCTAAACTCTAAATTAATTAAAACTTGAAACAAATTTGAACCAACTGTAAACACAACAAAGTAACCAAAGAAAAAAAACAAAAAGATTACATTTTTCCTCTTATTTTTATTCTCTGAGAGTTCACTAAACATATTTTACTCTATTTTGTACAAATTTAACCAATTTTCGAGGATTGCCAATAATAAGCACTACAATCACTATCAGCATGTAGAGTTACATGCTATAAAAACCATTATGTTATGTCAAATAACGATTCTCACTCAATCTAAGAATGCAAATCCAATAAGGTACAGAAAATGACTCGCAAACTTGCAAAGCCAGAAAGCATTTAAGTTCCACGGCAGAGGAACCAAATTGTGTAGAAACTATACTTGAAAATGACAAATGGAGAAAAATGCATAGAACCCATCACCAAAATTAGGGCTTTCGGAGAACACCTTAAAGAGAAGAATAAACCGATGTAAGAGATGAATGATCGCAAACCTGTTACAGTGTTACGTTACATGCAAGCTCACACTGCGTTCCTCTTTCCCAACCCAAGTAATCAGAACCAGAAACTTTCCGAAAGCAAGGAATCAGAAACAACTTAATATTAGAATAATCCTTAGGCCTCGAAGTAGATTTTGGGCCGACTTTAAACTCAAACCATGTTGAGGTTCGGCCCAAATTCCTCCAAGGTTCGGCCCAGAAACAATTTAAATAACCTGTTAATTTTTTTTTTCCCAACTGATTATCCAACTAATCCAGTTGAATCCATATTAATGGAGGCAACTCTCAACTCTCAAGATTATTAAACTCATTAAGGAATAATTTTTTTATATTTTATTTTATTTTATTTTTTTAAAGTTCGTTATCATTTATTTTTTGGTACATCAGGAGGGCCAAGCCCAGAACAAAAAAGAAATGGAAAAAAGAAAAAATGAGATCCAAAGTCACCCCCTTCAAATGATTATCAAGACACTTAATTTGGCCTAAGCTGATAAATAATATTCCTTTCGCGCGTTATTGCTGCTTCGTCTACTACCTTCTCTATAGATAAAAGACACCTGACAATCGTATTTATCTGAAATTGACCAAAATTTAATGTAAAAAAGAAAAACCAATTTAATAAAATAGCATTTACAAAATGAAAAAAAAAATACGATATTTTTATGGTCTAATATATATATATATATATATATATATATATATATATATATATATATTTGTTAGTGTAATAATAATAAAATGATATTATTACATATCAATGTTATTTTATAAGACAATAATTGAATAAACATTCCATTCTTCAAGTTTACTCGTCACCAAACTTATAAATTTGAGGGTGATATTATTAATATTTTTTGATTTTATTATAATATTTCTTGTCAATTACATATAAAAGTAATTAAATTAAAGATGATATATAATCAAGTTAAAATACATAACTTTTAAAATTAACAAACTTTTTTTATAATAACAAAAAGTATTTAAAGCTATTATTATTCTGTCCTGAAGATAGAGATGTCTAATTCAATGAGCTAATATGTTTATGTTGGATCTAGGTGCTCCTTCTAATGTATCTTTGAGTTAGATACCCTTGAATTTAGCAGATTACTGTGTATTAAAAGTAATATTCAGCTTTTGCCAAAGGAGTGATGTGTGTGCACATTGATAACATAATAGTAAGAGAAAGAGTGTCATACCTGTAGGTTTTACAATATTGGATTATGGACTTTGTGTGTTTTTCCTAGTAGCCCAAACCCTTATATTGTGATGTTGTATTATAGACTTGACATCCTCCTTAAATTATATCAGATTATATTTGAATTAGCTCTTGTTCGACTTAAGCATAAATGAACCCCGTGTACGACTCCATAAAAATTATTATATATTTATTATTTATATATCTGTATTTATTTTATTTTATATTATCTCGTGTATTTCATAAATTTTAAGCTAGTACATGACTAGCAGCAATCAATCAAAATCATCAAATCAAAACCCCCAGCTTTATTTCTTATCCAATAATTCAGCATTTATGTCCATTGTCACGGGATATGTACAGTACAGCTCAAGTTGTCGTCCATAACAATATACATTTCAACTATAAGAAACAAAGGAGTCAACTTATAATATGTTTGGAAATAAATAATTTCACAACATCAATATTACGAATCAAAATTTCAATACTATCAACCAATGCACTGAAGTCTGAACATGAATGAAATACAGTATAATCAAATAACCTAATTCAAACACGGTGTCGGTGGTGGAATTGAAGTCATTGAAGATATTTACCTACAAAAAAAAAGTCATTGAAGATGTCCCTCGTTCATTCAACGGTCTAATATATGAGGTAAGGAAGCACAATTAACTGGACTATTATCCTAAGACTGAAAATATTGTCAGAGACATAAACAACAGTTCAAACCCACACCCTACCTCACGCAATCTCAATGTTTTTTTTATACTCTTCTTCTCATCCATTCCCTCTCACACTCACTGCATGTCCTCATCTTGAAACATCCCATAATGAAACAGAGAACCCTCTTCTCTTCTTCTATTATTCACTCATACATCATCATCATCATCATCCTCTTCTCTATCCTCACCAGAATCACTTTCTGTTCTGTGGATCCAAATTTCGAAGCTTGTAAGCCCCAAACATGTGGGAATGGCCAAAACATAAGCTACCCGTTCTACATCAAAGGAAAACAAGAACCCTTTTGTGGTTACCCTAAATTTGAACTCACTTGTGACCACAATGGCTTCCCAATTCTCAACACGTCAAGAACACAATACATCGTCGACGAGATTTGCTACGACAGCCAGTCACTTCGAGTGTCCATCCCTGCGTTTTCAAAACCAAACACCACCGAATGCGTTGCTCCATTACACAATTTCAGCCAATACAGTAGAAGGTTCAGTGTTGCTTCCATGCAAAAGGAGGTGTTATTGTTCCAAGGCTGTGACTCACGGTCGATACTTCAAGGAATGAAAGATATAATGATTATGTGTTATGGAGAAAACAAAACGAGTTCAGTTGTGGCCTTGTATAGGGAAGATCCAAAATTGAGCATAGCATATGAGAAGTGCAAGGGTGGGGTGGTGAGCACGAGAGTAGAAGATGATAAAGGAGGAATTGAAGATGCACTGAAAAGAGGTTTTGTGTTGAATTGGACAGCAAGTAGTTGCGATGAGTGCAAGAGCAGTGGAGGGAGGTGCGGGTTCGACCAAGACCCACATATATACGCTTTTAGATGCTATTGCCCTGATAAAGTTCAATCTCTGATATGTGACGATGCACTAACACAACCAGGTTAGCCTCTCTTCCTCGTATTAAACAAGCATCGATGGTGTTCATTGTCAACGTCTGTGAAATCTTAGTTGAATTGTCTATATCTATTTCTTTTTTATTTAACATAACCTTAATATGTAAAAACTTACGTAACATTTAATATTCTGTTTTTGCAAATTCTAGTAGAGGAATTAATTAATTACAAGGAACAGAGGAAAAAAAACTATCTGCTTGAATAACCTTTGCCAATAAGAACTGATTTAATTGAAATATATTTTCATTTTCTTTTGTGAATAAGTTTAGTTTTGTCTAGCCAAACCAAAAATTATAAGTCACCCTTTGAGTGTTGTGATTAGAGTTGATAGTGACACGGGGAAGAACTCTTTCAGAATTACAGAGACATGACATCATCATGTCCGCTCCACAATATTTAATCTCTGAGTAAATATCATTTTTTAAATCTTTAATAAAAAATATGATTCCACTTTTAGTTTATTATAAAAAAAATTACTCGTCTGGTCTTTAAAAAATTTAAAGTTAATTTATTTTAATTTTTTTAAAGAATTAATTTAGATCTTTTTTAAATTTACGAGAAATCACAATTTTAACTAAATGAGTCTATTTTACATTTTTCAAAGACCAGACGAATAATTTTTTTTTGTAAAGAAGTAAACTTGGTATCATATTTTTGTTAAAGAATCAAAATAATATTTACTCTTAATCTTACTATGTAATTTCAAAAGTTTGAATAATCTCAGTAGTTATCTCATTCTCAAGTGTTCAACGAGGCCAAGGTAGGAAGAGATGAAAAAGGAATAAAAAAGTAATTCAACGTGTCAATAAAACAAACGAACACTACGTTAGGTATTTGGAAAGGGACATTTGTGCCTTTAATTATCATGATTAGCAGAATAAGACGGGCAATTCTGAACTTATATAAAACCAATAAATCTTTCTTTCTCTTCTCTCAAAAAATTAAATGTTACTTATGTTCTACCGTATAGACATTGCAACTTGAGAGGACCAAAGCACTAAAGTTGGTCAAGTTGTTCAACTTGGCTACGATGCCCCATTTGCGCATTTAGGTAAAGTAGGCCTTTATAGGGGAGATTCATTCAAAAGTCTAAGATATGAGGCAGATAAAAAGAACACCGTAGCCAGCCACCTTCGACTCCAATTGCATGTCAAATCCATTGTCCTATCCTATCCTCACACTTCTCAATAATCTCATTTTAATAATTTTCTTCTTCTCTATTTTCCTTCCATCTCTTCCCATACCCTCATCTTGAGCATCCCAAATGAACTCAAGATCCCTTATTCACTCATACATCATCTGCTTCTCTCTCCTAACCACGATCACTTTCTCTTCCGTGGATCCAAAGTTCGAAGCTTGCAAGCCCAAAACCTGTGGGAATGGTCAAAACATAAGCTTCCCGTTCTACATCCAAGGGAAACAAGAACCCTTTTGTGGGTATCCAGGTTTTGAGCTCACTTGTGCTCACAATGGCTTCCCAATTCTCAATTTAATCGATACCCAATACACCATCCATAAAATTTTCTACACAAACCACACACTCAGAGTGTCCAACCCTGTGTTTTCAGAATCAACCACCTCTTCATGTATTTCTCCAACTCAGAACCTCACAGTTGGCAAGTACAGGTTCCGACTTGCTGCCAACCAAAAGGACATGTTGTTGTTCTATGGCTGCGACTTAACATCGCTTCCTGAAGGGATGCAAGAGCACAACATTGGGTGTTCTGCAGAAAATGAAACGAGTTCAGTCGTGGCCTTGTATAGGGAGGATCAAGATTTGAGCATAGCATCGAAGAATTGCAAAGGTAGAATGGTGAACACAAGTGTAGAAGATGAGAAAGGTGGGAACATTAAAGAGGCACTGAGGAAAGGGTTTGTGTTGGATTGGAATGCGAGTAATTGCAGCGAGTGCACGAGCAGTGGAGGAAGATGCGGGTTCGACACTGACCCTGTTACATACGCTTTCAGATGCTATTGTCCTGATAGAGTTCATGCTGCGAGATGTGATCCAAGTTAGTCTCTCTTCTTAGTTCCCAACTTTTTTCACTTTTGCTGTTAACGGTGATTGGTGACTAGGTAACAATATATAAGGTTGATTTAACTTATTTGGGGTTGAAAATAGTTTATAATAGTCAAAGAGTGTTTAATTAAAAAAAAAAAAAAACATTTCTTGAAAATATAGTACTTTAAAATGAAACATGCAGAGGGTGTTTTTTTTACTATGGTCAGGAAAGGCGGTGTACTTGTGTTGTGTGGCCCAAGTTCTCTCAGTTTTCAACTTTTTCGCTTTTTCCTGTTAAGGTGAATAATACCAAGGACACAGTGGAAGTAACTGATCATTACATTAAAATCTTTTCTCATGAATTGTTTACTTTTATGGAAAAGTAAATTAATGACTCAACCCCTCTGTATAACTTCCCTTTCTTTCTATTTTAGGAGGTTCTTGCTTAACGAATTATATATATATATATATATATATATATATATATATATGGGCTTAACATTTCTGCAGCAGCCGTAGATAGTGTTATCTACAGCTGACACAGAAAAGTGGGCCCACGGCTTCTTAAAAAAAAAACTCAGAATTCATTGTCGTATCCTAGAATTCGGACGTGTATCCTTGATTGCTGTAGGTACAGCAGCTGCAGAAATCATGCAGAAATCATTTTGCCTATATATATATATATATATATATAATTAGTAAATATTTCGTGCATTTTACGACTGTGCTTAATTCAAATAAAATTAAAAATATGAATAAAAAGCGGAAAAATTAAAAAAATATATATTTAAAATCATAAATGAGATATGCATAATTAATTTAATTTATAATTAAAAATTAAGATTATAAAATATTATAGTTGAGGAAATTTATGCTTTTAGATTTGGAAAAGGAAACTATTTAGTGAAATTGTTTTCATTATTTGATTTAAAAGTTTGACCATTATTGAAAAGGATATTATCATAAAAAAAAACTGTAAGAGAATAACAAAATTTCTTATTTCCTTGAACATGCTAAATTTAAAAATATACTTCTGTCTTCCAAAATTGTATGTTAAAAAACCAAGAGAATAAAATTATCCACGGACTACCAGTAGTCCGGCATGTATTAATATGTAGCAAGAAGTTTCAAACAACCCCTTTATTTTCTTTGTTCAATATAGCTAGTAAAGAAATTGTATATGATAGCTAAGTGATAAACTAGGAAATGGAACTAAATATCATGTCTTGGAACAAAATTTTATTCGGCATTAGGTTCACGGCTAATATTTTTAATGTGAAGCTTCTTTACTCACAAGAATTTCTTAATTAGACCATGCTTATCATATCATTTTTAGGCACTATATTCTATAATTGACATAAATAATTTTTCTTTTTAAAACGGGAGATGCATTTTAGACTTGGATCTCATGACCTTACACATTTTTAATATCAGATGTTCGTCCACATGTCACTTTTTAACTCCATTTACATTTGAATTCCTTTCAAAAACAGAGTTTAGGAATTGATAATATGGACATTACTTTATAGAGACGTAAGCGTGTTGTCATCTTGACTTTCTTTCTAGGTGAGGTCTTATGTTTGATTGTTCAAAACTTCAAATCCTACTTATGATAAACGAATGAGTAATTAGTGTTAACTATTAATGTCAAAACAGCACACTTTGAATTTATAAGAGAAGATTGTCGGTTGATGAATTAAGTTGTTAAAATATTATCTGTTAGACTCTTTCAAATTCAGGTTTCATCTCCTGCCAAAAACAGCTAATACGTATACCGCCAACTTTTCCATAAATACAATGAATACGACAGGAATTTTTTCTATTAAAAAAAATTATTTGTAACCTTTAATTACAAATAGTTCGTAGAACTTATAATTAGTATATGCTTGCATTGATTTTGGTTTTGGTTTTGGTTAAAATTATTAAAAAAATGTCTGAAATAGATTGAGAAATAGCGTCTATTTTATTCCATATATTTTACTTGTAAACGTAATTTTTAAGGTTTTTAGTATTATATCATAATCATAAAAAAAATTGTAAATATCATTTGTCTAGGATCCGGATCATCAACAGTTCTTCAACTATAGATGATCTTCATCATTAAAATACTTTGTTTTATAAAAAATTATAAATTCAATTTAATATTTTATGGCCCTCGGATTCTAACTGCATGTCGTGCAATTGTTTTTACAACCGTACACGACCGGTTTCGCAATATCTATAACATGGGTTGATAATATTGGAATTACACGCACGCACACACATTTACGTAACTGAAGCTTTGAGTAGCATAATTATGACATCCTTCTTTCTTCTTTTTTTTGGTTCCGTATACTTGATTGAAGTATGTTAAAATCTGGAAAGTAATAAGGGAGCGTTTGGTTAAGTAGAAATTTTTTGAATAATAGGGAAATGTGATTGATAGGGAAATGGTTGGAAAACGAGTTTGATAGGAAAATGTAAAAAAAATTGTTTGATTCGCCAAAAGTTTACCGGGGAAATTGGGTTAAATTTTCTGAGTGTATGTTTGGTTGAAGATAGAATACTGATGGGAAAATTGTTTGAAAATACTAAAATACCCTTTCTTTTTTTACTGTTTTTAAAAGTGTTTACCGTTGTGTGCATTGCGTGTTGCACATTTCTACCCAACGACAAATAAAAAGGTTTTCATATCTCAGTAAACCAAGCTTCCAACAGATCTTGTACGCAGCAATTCTAGCCTTTGAGGCCATTCCTCTTGCTTCACCTTGAGCAAAGTTGAACAAACTAGCGTTTGCAACAACAGATCCTGCAGCAGCTGAAGCAGTGTGTGTTCCATGGCCTTCAGTGTCTCTCGGAGACTTAGATTCCACACACTCATAAATGGGTCTCTCGAGATATGATTCATAGCCTTTGAAGAACGATTTAGCTCCGATTATCTTCTTGTTACACGCAGAACCGGGGAAGTCATGAACCTTTTCACAACTACCTTTCCAAGAAGAGGGTACGTCGGAGAGACCCTCGTCTGAGAAGCTCTGTTGGGCATTTTAAAACCATCATATGCATCTGTCTTTCTTCTCTGTTGGGTATTTTCGTCTGTCTCATTTTTGCAAATTGCAACTTATCCGGCTTTCTGCACAAAACCACCCCCAACTTGGCTTTGCAAACAGTGTCAATGCCCGGCTATTTGGACCAAATGGGGGAATGGTATGCATTTGTTATTGCTGGGGAACTTGGCTGAATCCCTCTACCAAACAGGGACTTTCTAGAAAACTATTTTCATTTGGATGGGGAAATTTTTGGTTCCCCTGAACCAAACACCACCTAAAGTGTTTCTTTATAGCAATAAATTTAAGGGATAGAATCCGTTTACAAATTTTTTTTTACAAATTACACCCGACATTGCTTCTTTTCATCTCAAATAAAATTCAACTCTGTTCAAGTGTAACCGTACGTACCCTCCATGTCAAGCTTCCAAAAGATATTTATAATTATACTTCATACCCTGATTACGAGCATGCACAATGATCCAACTTCCAATCAAAGACGAGCCTAATTCTATTTTTTTTGTTTACGTTCATAACTGCTAATATTTTCAATGAAGTACAACTGTCAGATGAATGTGCAAATTGTCACTATAACAAAAGGCAAGTGTCAACTTGACAGTTAAGGGAAATTTCATTAAGCCAATGGTATACATGCGTTGCATTTGTAGTAGTTGCCTTTTTTTACTTTCCACATGAAAGGTTCTCCATTTTTCTTCTACTTTTCTGTAGAACACACAGGTGGTTCTTGCTCATATAACATAATAAGTACTTGAGAGCTAAAATGCAGTGAGGTTGACAAGAATAAGTCTTGTCTTTGAACGAATGTGCCCAATTTAAGTTACTCTTCTGCTGTTTTCAATCTCTTTAAGTTTGGCATTTGGTTGCTCCTTGGTGATTTTCTTATCAATCTTGAATGGCAAAGGCTATGTTTTGTTTATTGACTGTTCGATACTCAGAATTAGAACGCCATAGTTTTCCCTGTGTAACTTTATCATCGTACTTACATTTTTTTTCATTATTCAATCTGATTTAACTTTTTCTTTAAACTCCTGCTGCAGAGCCAAAGAGGTTGAGTAAGGCAGGAAAACTAGGCGTAGGTAATATACCTTCTCTTAATATTATTTTCATCACATTTGTTTATCTTGAAGAACATATTTCATCAGCTTGAAAAATCCAAAGCATCATCTGAATTTTTCTCTGAACACCCTCATTTCTCCAATTCTTTCTTCCACAATATGAAAATTGAAAAGGTCTTTAAATATTCATTTAATTCTATCATTGCCATGTTGATAGTTTCCAGAATCAGGCACTTTATTAATAGAAAGTACACATGATTTACAAGTATAACATCTCCAAATCTTTGAGCTGCAGATGTTACAATACAATCTTCTATTGATGTTTTCTTTTATTACTCTTCCACAGGTTTAGGTGTTGGGCTCCTAAGCATCTTGATAATTGGGTTGCTCCTTCTAGTTTACAAACGAAAACATGGAGGTCAATTCCAAACAAGAAATACTTACCCAAATCCCACCTCTAATACAGATATAGAGAGTGACAGTGCGTACTTTGGAGTTCCCCTCTTCTCCTACAAGGAGCTTGCAGAAGCAACAAGCCATTTCGACCATGATAAACAAATTGGAGATGGAGGCTTTGGGACTGTCTACTATGGTTAGCACTCAAACACTACCCTATCAATTGAAACATTAAATTAGTCTTCCTTCTTATTCTATAGTTTATGCTTAGATCTTTAAAATCCAGGGAAACTCCGAGATCAACGGGAAGTTGCTGTCAAGCACTTATATGAGCACAACTACAGGCGTGTAGAGCAGTTCATGAATGAAGTTCAAATCCTCACACGTTTGCGCCATAGAAATCTTGTGTCACTCTATGGCTGCACTTCGCGTCACAGCCGTGAACTCCTGCTTGTGTATGAATATATTCCAAATGGCACAGTTGCTTGTCATCTCCATGGAGAATTGGCAAAGCCTGGCTTACTACCATGGTCTATAAGAATCAAAATTGCCATTGAGACTGCGAATGCATTGGCTTATCTTCATGCTTCTGAAATCATTCACCGTGATGTGAAAACCAGCAACATTCTACTTGACAACAGTTTTTGTGTCAAAGTTGCAGACTTTGGCCTTTCAAGGTTATTTCCCAATGATGTCACCCATGTCTCAACCGCACCACAAGGGACCGCAGGTTATGTTGATCCAGAATATTATCAATGCTACCAGCTTACTAACAAGAGTGATGTGTTTAGCTTTGGAGTGGTGCTCATTGAGCTAATATCATCTAAGCCAGCTGTGGATACAAACAGGCTCAAGGATGAAATTAACTTGTCAAATTTAGCCATAAAGAAGATTCAAGAAAAAGAATTTAGTGAGCTGGTTGATCCTGACATTGGTTTTGATTCAGACAATGAGATCAAGAGGATGATAGTTTCGGTGGCAGAGTTGGCTTTTCGATGTTTGCAAGGGGACAAGGAATTGAGACCTTCCATGGATGAAGTATTGGAGGTGCTGAGGAGAATTGAAAGCGGGAAGGATGAGCCAGAGCATCTAGAAGAAGCAGACGTTCATGGTTCTGGGGTTTCTTCTCATAGTAATGTATATCCACCATTGCCAACCTCACCAGAAAAGATACCTTCTTCACCAATAACCGTTACTGACAGCTGGGAAAGTAAATCTACTACGCCTAGTGTCAGTTGTTAATCATTTGGGCTATTATTAATTGTTGATACTTAATCCATTCTTGCCTAATAATGAGCTTGCAGAATGAGTGAATCTGAGCTTCATTATCTTCTCATCCACTTACTTGTATAGTTGCTTACATGATATTTATATTATGCGGCATTTCATAGTCATGCCAAGAGTAGAGAGAATATAAATTTGAATATTATGAAGAAAAGAAAAAAAGTTGCTCGATCCAAAAATGTGATGCTATGTAATTTAGAGTTTTGAACTCTCTAAATATTTGGACTTAAAAAGTTGTTTTTTTTTTTTTTTTTTAATTAAAGTAACAGAGCTAATGAAAAAAAAAAGGTTAAAACTAATTTTCTTTTAAAACAGTGACACACCTTTCCCTGCTTTATTTTACACGTAAAACTAACCGACGACCATCCTTCCCATAAACGCAATTACTTCCATAATTCAACGCAGAAAGAAAATTGGGGAAGGGGCACAAACTTTCGTTTTCATTGCCATGTTAGCAATCATCCAATACATTTCTAAAGTTTGTTAGGTTACTTATTTCATTAAGGAAAAGGCTTGACCATCAATATCACTGTTTGCATTTTTCTTTTTCTCTCATTACAATGTAGTAAATTGAGATGTTCAGCGTAAGGACAATCATAACTCTGTTTTGATTATCTTCAACTTTGTGCACAAAATTCCAAGTGTGAATTTGCCGTTGCGTAAACTTGGAGCTCCGTGAAACAGACAGTTTCAAAAGTCAAGGCGTTATAGCAGATAAATGAACAGAATTTTCAATAACCCTCTTTCCAGCCAATTTCTTAAGTCCTCCTTAGTCAATTTGTCCAAGTCAACTTAGCGTAGTAGACACTCATATTACAGTAGGTAACTAACCAACAGCACTATATTATGAACATAACGGAGAATGGTTTCAACAAAATCACTATAGAATTTTATTGTATTCTTCTTGAACAAGGGTCTTTTGCTTCCTTTGTTGTGATATATATATTTTTGGATGGCTGCTCACTCAGTGTTTGGTTTCTTTTTTATACTCTGTTATTTTCTGTTTCTTGTCACAGCTGCAGCTCAAGAGGCAAAGCCTGAGGAGTGTCCAGAGTCTTTTCAGTGTGGACATGAAGTGGAATTCTCCTTCCCCGACACTATAAACCCAAAATGTAGCTTGCCCATAAATGTTTGTGACGACAACAATCAAATCAAAGAAATCCAACTGAAATACCAACCAACATATACAACTTATATCATCTCACCGGACGAGTACAATTCAATTTTCACCCATTACCCCAATTTTGAAACGCTCAGCTATGAAGCCAGTGTCGCAATTCCTCCAGGGCCTACTATTACGCCTTTTCCGATCCTTAACAACATTCCTTTCTCCAAATGCATCCATATCTCCAATGACAAGAGAACCCATACAAACATCTCCATGTATAGAAAATGTCCTGACTATGCATACTTTCCTTCTGAACATCATGGTGATGATAGCGAGAACCACATTCTTCCATATGCATGTTTACTTGTTCAGCTTAGAACTGAACAAGTACCCAATTCCACTTGCCCGTGTCCATTCTTAATTTCTTTTCTCGAAATTGAATTGGAAAAGTCCGAGTTTTCTGAAGACTGTTGGTTCAAGGGTAAACACCTGAATTCTACATTATGAGATGCTCGTTCATTCTTTCACTGTTTTAAAGATTATATGACTTGATCTGTTTAAGATGATTCAGACTCATTTGTTTTCTTCTGATTTCTTAATAGCGCCACCTGACAAGAGACGGGATTTGAAGGCTACGATAATCGGTACTGCGTTTCATTGTACTAAAATAAACTGTGTTCATACGTTGAATATCTATTTTCATCACGGGCTTGTATATCTAATCACCCAAAACAGAACTACAAAAGTCTTGTCTGTCCATGGATTGATTAACAATCTAAAGCTTTCCCTCCTGCAGGTCTTTCAATTGCGTTGGCAAGCGTGATTACAATTGCCTTGTTTGTTATTCTTTTGATGTACAAACAAAGACACAAATCTTCAGGTGTCCAAAACCAACCAAGAAACACTTATCCTGGTCCCTTCAGCAGAACAACAAACCCAGAAAGTGGAGCTGTCTACTTTGGGGTCCCTGTCTTCTCCTATGAGGAGCTCCAAGAGGCAACAAACAATTTTGATCAAGCTAGAGAGCTTGGAGAAGGAGGCTTTGGGACTGTTTACTACGGTAATGAACTCAAGATTCTATTCTGACACCCTTTTGCACTGCTGCGCATAGCAGGAGCTTTATATATAGAATCAAGTTGTCCCATTATATTGCCATCCATTAACTAACATCTTTATTTAATGTTTTCATAGATGTCACGTTGTTGAGTGTGAATCATTTTTTTTTTATGATGAAATCCAGTTAGTTTCCCCCTCCGATATTAACCAATTTTAATGTGATAATCTATAGAAATCACATTGTGAGAAAAAAAGAGTTTATAAGGAAATTTTTGTCTTGTGGAATAACATATACCTTGATCCTTAACAACCAGGAAAGCTTCGAGATGGACGTGAAGTAGCAGTGAAGCGCCTATACGAGCGCAACACCAGGCCAGTAGAATCGTTCATCAATGAAATTCAGATCCTCACGCGCTTGCGCCACAGAAATCTTGTATCTCTCTATGGCTGCACTTCACGTCACAGTCGTGAGTTACTGCTAGTATATGAATATATCCCAAATGGCACTGTTAGTTGCAATCTCCATGGTGATAAAGCAAAGCCTGGCTTATTGCCATGGCCCGTGAGGATGAAAATTGCCATAGAGACTGCTAGTGCATTGACTTATCTCCATGCTTCTGACATCATTCACCGAGACGTGAAAACCAGCAACATTCTCCTGGACAATAGCTTTTGTGTTAAAGTTGCAGATTTTGGGCTTTCAAGACTGTTCCCCAATGATGTCACACACGTCTCCACAGCTCCACGGGGAACCCCAGGTTATGTTGACCCAGACTATCGCATATGCTACCAGCTTACAAGCAAGAGCGATGTATATAGCTTTGGAGTTGTTCTTGTTGAGCTAATATCGTCTTTGCCAGCAGTTGATATGAACAGGGACAAGGATGAGATTAAGTTGGCAAAGCTAGCCATTAGGAAGATTCAAAAAAGGGCATTTTGTGAGTTGGTTGATCCTTCCCTTGGTTTCCAGTCAGATGACAAATTAAGAAGGATGATTATTTCAGTGGCAGAATTGGCTTTCCAGTGTTTGCAAGGGGACAAGGAATTGAGACCCTCTATGGGTGAAGTACTGGAGGTGCTGCAGAGAATCACAAGTGGGAATGATGAGCCAGGGAATCATGAGGGAATTGATGTTCATGGTGCTAGGATTTCACAAAGTTATGTATACCCGTCACTTCCAAACACTCTGGAGAAGCCACAGCGCCTTCACCAAACACTCTGATGAAAGGGATGATGAGATTACTTCACCAAATATCAGTGGCTAGCCACTTAGTCTTTGATTTCCAATAGTTGATACTTGATGCTTCTTTAACCACATTCTACTATATATAGAAAGAATGATAAACTCTTGTGAGTTGCATATAATACTAGTGACAGAGTATATATATATATATATATATATATATATATATATATATATATATATATATATATGCTTATAATATATCGAATATGCTTATAATATAAAGAACATCTTTGTCTTGTACAATGACTGAGGGAACATAGATTAAAAAGGAAATGAGTATTCATTAATTTTTTTTTTGAGTAAAACCCTTTTTGGATCCCTAACAAAAAACACGGTTCCCACTTTCATCCTTTAAAAAAAAAAGTCAACTTTTGGTCCCTCTAAAATTTCAATTCTTTGAAAATGTGATTCCTCATAAATTCAATGAAGTCCCAATTTAGTCCTTAGTTAAAGACTAATATGGGTATTTTTTTTTAAAGGATGAAAACAAGGACCGTGTTTTTTGTTAAAGACCCAAAAAATGCTTTACTCATTTTTATTTTTTTTCTGCCTTGATCAGTTTTACTTCCTGCCATCAAATTTCTCATAATTTATATTCTTCCAACATCTATACATCATAGAGGAGGAAAATATGAGTAATTACGTTGTTAACTATTCTTCATTCAGTACATACTAATTACTACTTCTTATCAGTTCGGCATCTCAATTTTAATTCGAGAAATAGCAGAATTTGGTTACCATCTTAGTATGTCTTCAAATATTAACCATAGTCTGCTCTTCTTAGAAAGAATTTCAACAAAATGTTTTAAGAGTCAATCAGTCATAGTCCTCTCAACGTTCTACAACGGGGGAAGGAAAGTAGGAAACAGGTCCATCCCTTCGGCAGCTTCTCTAACGGAAATCACAAGGTTGGACATTGAACACGCCGTGTTTCTCAAGCCCTCTACATCGCTAGTCCTCAGTCAACACGCGTCGTTAACTCCAACACTACATTTAATTTGTTAAATTACTAAAAACGAATAAAGTTAGGACACAAACAAAACACAGGAGCTGTTTTCTTCTTGAAATCTATTTACTTTGACTCTTGATTTGTGAAATCCAAGATGGTTTCACAATCGCTCTTGCGTTTCCTTGTTCTCTGTTATTCTCTGCTTCTTCTCTTAGCTGAAGATGAAAAGGAATACCAAGGGAACAGCCCAAGATCTTTTCATTGTGGAGAACTCGGGGACATCCAGTTCCCATTTACCAACAAAACCAACCCGAAATGTGGTTTACCCATAAGGGGTTGTGATGATCAAAATGCAGCTAAAGAAGTCCAGTTAGCAAACCAAACATGGTATGAAATTGAATCCATCGAAGGGAACAATTCTATTTTTGTCACAGACCATAATCTTCGAGGGCTCTTGTCCTCCAGAAGTTGCAATGCCTTCAGCTATTATCTTAATGCTATCCTTCCTCCGAACTCTCCTATACTGCATTTTCAGATCGAAATGGAACACAATATAAGCCTGTTAAGATGCAAAAACACCTCTAGTAGAAGAATCAATCAATACATAAAATATACAAGCTGTAATGGCTATGATATCTACTACCCTACTCAATCACCTGGTACGTATACAAGCTCTGAGAATGCATGTTCAACCATCCACCTTCCGATTTTGCCTATTGGATACAATTTCACAGACCTTTTCAAATCGTTTGCTGCTGCAATCCGCATACTAATATTGTTAACGGATGAATGTCGTGAATGCTATGAAAATGGAGGCCAATGGCAACTTCATAGAGGATTATTTCATTGTGCCAGTTCCAAAGGTATGCAACATGAAAATTCTGAAAGCACTTTGATACATGAAAGGTTTCATGTTTGACATACAACTAGGTTTGACCAAATAATTGTACTTGGATGATCCTGACTGAACTTTATTTCCTTTTTTCTGAAATCTAACTTGTTATTTATCACCTTCTTGATATTGATAGGATCAGCAGATACTCCAGAGCCGAGACAAGTAGAATCTCTTCGGGAGATGAGATGGGTTTCCAAGGTTATTATACTAAGAATAGGTATTATATTTATATAAAAAAATCTTGAAATATTAATTTGATGCTAGAAGAACTATTTATACAAGTTCTGAAAATATGGAAGGTGTCGATGTTCTTTACTTTATATATTTTCAGCCTGCATTCAGATTGATCATTCAGGTAGTAGATTATGTTACACAAGTATATAAATTATTGATGGACCTTCACTTACTAGCTTAACCTTTTGGATTGAATTGGTTCTTTACATGGTATCAGAGCTTCGGTGTACCGGGTTCAATTCTCACTGCCCCCCATGTTCTTTCTAGTGGAATTTCTTTTTTAGTACATGTAGGTGGGCCTGTGCATTGTCCATCCTTCAAATCCAGTGGGCTCTCGTGTGAGAAGTCGTGTTAGAGAAGTATATAAATCATTGATGGATTTTCACTTACTAGCTTAAGTTTTTTGCGTTGAATTGTTTCTTTACAGATTACTTAACCATTGTGTTCCCAGTTCTCAAGGGTAGGGGTGTGCATGGGTCAAATTGAACTGAATTTTTTAAAAAACCGAACCGAATTGGTTTAAACGGTTCGGTTCGAAAACAATTCGGTTCGGTTCAAAAAAGGTTCGGTTCATTCGAAAACGGTTCGGTTCGGTTCGGAACCGGTTTGGATCGACTTTATTTTGAAAGTAAAATAAAAAAATAAAAAAAATAAAGAAATAAAGTGATAAAAACCAGTTCGGTTCGGTTCGAAAACGGTTCAGTTCTTGAACTCGTTTTAAAAACCAGTTCGGTTCATGAACTGGTTCTTTAAAAACCGATTTGGTTCTTTAAAAACCAGTTCAGTTCATGAACTAGTTTTTAAAAATCAGTTATTTTAATTACAGTTTAGTTCAGTTTACAGTTCGATTCAGTTTTTTAGTTATTTTGCACATCCCTACTCAAGGGTACCTACCTACTTTTCCACAACACCCCCTAACAGAGTGGTCTGTCTGACTTTTTTATTTTTTATTTTTTTGTCATTCCTGTTTAGTGAGTCACGGGGGGAAAGCCCGAGATAAAGGAAAAATAAACTACAACGATATCAAAGCCTACGAGTCACTCTCAACAATAATTCTTGGAATAAGTACAAATAGGTTCAGATTGAATTAAACTTATTCTACTTTGGTTCCCATGAGGCTGTTAGGTCGGAAACAAAATGACTTTCCTTTATAAGAATGTGGTAATGAACCAAAGCCAAATACATTCAACTGGAACCAAATAGTACTTGTGTCTGCTATTAAGAGTTTCTGTCTGACAGCTCTTTCTGGCAGTGGCAACCTGAATCTCTATAGCTTAATCCAAAATAAACTGAACTGGAGTTACATTTAAAGGATATTCCAGTTTATAATTTTGGAGTTCCTTTTGATTGTTATGTAAGAATCACCTATTAAGATTTATATTTCAATTATCTAATATATGAGAATAATAAGGAATTTGTAAGGCGCAAATTTTTTATTGTCATAAGGATTTCCAATTCCTGTTTTTCATGCATGTTACACTACACAAAGTGATCCATTAATTAACAGTTCAAAGATTTTTTATTTTTTTATACTACAGGTTTTGCTATTGTATTCCTAAGCGTGATCCCATTATGTTTGATAATTCTATTTGTCTATAAACGGGGATGCAGTCTTTCAGACGACCAAAACCCATCAAAAAATATTTATTGTGGCTCTAACTCAAATCCAATGCCAGAGGGTGCAAGTGTCTTCTTTGGGATCCCTATCTTCTCCTATACAGAGCTAGAGCAAGCAACAAATAATTTTGACGAAGCTAAAGAACTTGGAAGTGGGGGCTTTGGGACTGTTTACTATGGTTAGCTATTCATACATTTCATAAACTACCATTTACATCTAAACATAGAATCATTTAACCTTCCATCTTGTTGTGACTTGTTCTTTATCTCTCAACAACCAGGAAAGCTCCGGGATGGACGGGAAGTTGCTGTCAAGCGCCTATATGAGCAAAACTATAGACGTGTGGAACAGTTCATGAATGAAATAGAGATCCTCACTCGTTTGCACCACAGAAATCTTGTATCCCTTTATGGCTGCAGTTCTCGGCACAGCCATGAACTACTACTTGTGTATGAATATATTCCAAATGGCACTGTTGCTTGTCATCTCCATGGGGATTTGGTAAAGGCTGGCTTCTTGCCATGGCCTACACCAATGAAAATTGCCATCGAGACTGCAAGCGTGTTGACTTATCTGCATGCTTCTAACTGTTGAAAATAATCAAGTGTGAGTGAGTAGTGGTGAAGTAGTTCCACGTAGGCTAGACATAGACCAAGTGATGACCATATAAGTGCAAAAGACCCATAACTCTACAGCCTTAAGGTTTTGGGTTGAGATGTGGTGTCAACCCACTTATTGTGGTTTATCATTTGGCCCATTGGTGGATGTACCATTTGCAAAGAGTTTTGAGCTTCCTCGTTCCATTCCCAACACTAACATCATTCACCGGGATGTGAAAACCAACAACATTCTCCTTGACAATAACTTTTGTGTTAAAGTTGCAGACTTTGGGCTTTCAAGACTGTTCCCCAACAATGTTTCCCATGTGTCCACGGCTCCACAAGGAACCCTTGGATACCTGGACCCAGAATATCACCGATGCTACCAGCTAACAAGCAAGAGCGATGTATATAGCTTTGGGGTCGTGCTTATTGAGTTAATATCATCTCTGCAAGCAGTTGACATAACCAGGGATACGGATGAGATTAACTTGTCAAATCTAGCCATAAAGAAGATTCAAAAGCGTGCATTTAGTGAACTGGTAGATCCTTCCCTTGGCTTTGAGTTAGATAAAGAGTTTAAAAGGAAAATACTCTCAGTGGCAGAATTGGCATTTCGGTGTTTGCAAGAGGACAAGGATTTGAGACCTTTAATGGTAGAAGTTTTGGAGGAGCTGGAAAGAATTGAAGGTGGGGATGATAAGCCTAAGCATATAGAGGAAGCAGATGTTCAAGGTGCTATGAACTCCCTGTAACATACATTCAGCACCACCAACCTCATAGTTTATTGAAGAATTTGAAGCCAGCAATAACCTGTCTGGCTGATAAGTGGATTATTAGTCTGCACTGCCAAATGTCAATTGTTAGCCACTAAGCCCAATTCCAATGTTTGATACTTCTTAATCTATTATATTATTTTACCACAATATTTTAAGAAGAAAATGATGGCCTTTGTCAGCACTCAATCAGTTGCAAATTAATTAGTTAACATTCTCTCATCCACTTGTATTGTTTATACGATGACGAACTATATTATAAGGCATGTAATATGGTGCTTATCATGTCATGACATGCATATAAATGAAGGGATTTCTTCTTTTCTTGTTTGGTGCCTCGGTGTGTTTCACTTCCTCTGCTCATCAATGCTATTACATAACTTATGCTTACCAGGAACAGAAAGTACAAACTATTTTGCTTGGGAGCATATGAGTTACTCTTAAACTTTAATTTCATTATCAATTTTAATTTAAGAAATACCAGAATTTCAGACTTGGATATCATTTTGATTTTATATTTAAAATGTATAAGAGAAAAGTAATCCCGTCTAACTTCTTTTGCTTTGACTCCGAAGTGGGTTTCCTTCTCCAAGGTCCAAATTAATTTTATAAGCTGTGGCGACGTTGGCCTGCACAGTTTTTTTAGTATTTCTAATTGATGAATTTCTAGATGACTATATTCTACCATATGCAAGAACTTAAATTATCCGAGTGTACAAGTGCTGAATATATAGTTCGACATTAACAAATATCTTATTCCCTAATTCATTCATTTGTTTATTTCAAAAACTTAATTATTAAATATTTTAGTTTCAATTTATAAATAACAATCAAACTTCACCTAAATATCTTTAAAGCGATTCTGCATATAATTTGTTAGTGTAACTATCAATTTCATTTTTTAGAAAGAGATTCTTTATTCTACGAGTAAATATTTTTTTGTTCCTCAGCAAATTTCACGATGGCCGCTTTAATCCCTAACAAATAAAAAGAACCGTCATGGTCCTTAAGAAATTCAAAATGAACCTATTTTAGTCTTTTTAAGGACTAATAGGGTCTCTTTTGAATTTGTGAGGAACCACAATTTCAACTAAATGAGTCCATTTTAAATTTCTGAGAGACCACAACGGGCCTTTTTATTTAGTCCCATGAAATTTATCGAGAACCAAAAAAGATATTTATTGTTATTCTATCTATTTAAAACACACACAACACACATTTATTGAAAGTTGAACCAGTCATACTCCTATGGACCTGCATCTTTTTCTACTTTGGCTATTCAATCCATTGAAAGTTGAAACTCTCCCTCTCTCTCCGTGCCTTTTGAAATTTCAAAGAATATATAAAGGGAAAAAACCAAACCAAACCAATCAATGTGTAATTGGCACCAATAGATGCAATTCAACATTTCCCAAAACAGATCTCACTCTTAAATTCACTACTCTTTCTCCCCTCACAATCATCATCACCACTCAACATTCAAATGTGAAACTCACACAAGTTTGATACTCAGAACTAAGAAGAAGAAGAAGAAGAAAAACTAACGTTGAAATGGCGACGCTGCAGAAATTCAAGCTCCTCTCGATGCAGTGCGGCGTGTCGCAGAGCCCCACACGGAGTCCGAGGACGAGCCCGCTGGTCCAACTCCGGCGACGGAAAACAACCCTGAGGATGCTTCTCAGCTGGAGCGCCGCCGGCCGCAGATCTCCGCGGCGGCGTGAACCGGCGCTTCAGCGAGAGCGCCTTTTGGAGAAGAAGGGCGGGGATCTGGTGCGGAGGCACTCACTGAAGGACCTCTTTGTGACTGCGCCACCTGGCGAAGAAGATATAACTAACGAGGAGATTCATAGAGTTGCGAACGCGGATCTTGCCGGGTCGGGTTATGGACCCGGGTCTCCCAGACCCGGGTGGAAGGGTTTTCGTTCCAGGCCTTTAGTGTCGAAGAAAGCTTGGCGTCCTGTTCTCCTCGCCATCGCTGAGTAATCAAAAATAAACATAGCCTTCAACATTCAATGAAAATAAAATTAGATAATTTCAGTGAATCGAGTTCAACACTTCAAGTTTTATTATAAGATTTACTTCAAACTCAAAAAAAAAAAAAAAAAAAAAAAGCAAATCCAAGTCTTGAATGTTTTTTCTTTTCTTTTCCCTAAGACAATATGTAAATGTTAAATGTGTTGCCATTATCAATAATCTTATAATCTAGCGGTTGAACTAGATTAGATTTTTAGTAGGTCTTGAAGCCTCGTTGCGGAAATGAAAACAATGTAAGTGTGCTTTTTCTTAATAATGTTATCTACAAAACATTTTTTACAATTTGGACTTTAATGTGTTGCATTTAAACATTATTAAATATGGATACCAAAAAAAAAAACATTATTAAATATATAGTTACATCTGAGTTTAAGTAAATTTACTTTAATGATATTAGAGCACAACAACATATGAGTAATATTGCTTATAAACTTTTTTACACACAGCACTTCATTCCAACCTAATTAAACAAATTAAACTTATTTAACTACAAATTTATGTATATTTAGTCCCCAGTTTAAAAAGGATATGGTAATGAGTTACAACCTAATCTTTTCATAATTATCATATTTTATGAAGGCCAACAAGGGTGTTATCCCTAATCTTTAAACGGTTTACAAAAAAAGATGGAAGAATGAAATTGGTGGTTGTATGTAAATTTTTATTCAATAGGTTTGGTAGTTGGTTAAATTGGTTAATGATCCCTACCTAAAATTGGTTTTCCCCTTTCGGAGTTCTTGGGAAGATGAAATGTTTATTTTTATTATGAAGGAGTACATTATTATTTATTGTGTATATTCTTTTTTATTTAAAAGGAAGAAAATAGGAATGAAAAGTGAAAGTGGATTGGGATAAAGAGAGGCGTGAAGCACATGAAAAGCCAGGAGATGAGAATATATTTTGGTAAAAGCATGAACCCATCAACGTCGCGAAAGGGCGAAAAGATAAAGACAAACATGATGCTCATGGAGATATGCGCGCAAACAAGAGCCCTGGTCTAGTGATAGCATTGAAAAGCATTACCTAAAAGTTCCACTGTTTAGTTTAAAACAAGGAATAATATTCTGCCAGCATACAAGTAACACTGGGTATCGAGGTATGAATTGAAGTGGGGATTACAATATAGTACTTAGTTTCAGTGGCTTTTTCATCCTTTTGCCTCTTATTAATTAATTAATAATCATTTTATCTTTGATTCGAAACTATTTATCAATGTGTCACTCTTTAATCGACTACCTTGAATTTTTAATCGACTAAATGGCCAAAACAGACAAAAAATGGCTGTTGGAAGATTTGGTCGACTAAATCTCCCTATTTAGTCGACTAAATCTCCATATTTGACAAAATAAAATAAAATAAATCAGTATGATTTTAATCGATTAAGTAGGGAGATTTAGTCGATTAAATCTCCCAACAACCATTTAGTCGATTAAATATTCAAAGTAATCGATTAAAGAGGGGCAGATTGATAGATAATTTCGAATCAGGGACAAAATGATTATTAATTAATTAATGAGGGGCAAAATGGTCAAAAAGCCTAATTTCAGTTATATACTGATGCTTTTAGTTCAAAGAACAAGATCTGTGGGCAAAACAATTATGAAAGGGAACGCACTTGCTATGATAACAATATGGACCACAGCTTTAATTCAGCAGCCACAGAAGTTACTTAACCGACATAATAATAAATTTAGGTGATGTAGGAATGTCAGGAAGACGTGTGATGACCAAAATTAAAATATTTATTCATTTCCAGAAGAGATTGAATAACATAACCAAAAAAATAAAAAATAAAAAGCAAGACCAGGTTCGAAGCCAAATGGAAATCTCACAATCCTTTCATTTCTTACTCCATTCTATTCTACTTGAGAACATGGCCTTATTCTTATTCACTTCTGCACCTTTATTTTTATTTTTATTTTATTTTTGCTAATATAATTCACAATTGAGGTAAAACCGAGCATTTGCATGCTGGACAGACAAAATTTCAGAGCCATCAAGTTATGAATTAAATATAAGGAGGTGGAGGACAATTAAAAAAAGAAAAAGGTAACTGCTAATCAATGTCTTGTTAGCTGCTCTTTGTTTCCAAGAGGAATTGATGAAGCTTTCTTGTTAGACTGAGATGGTGATTGCCCCGAATCAGTGCCATTTCTAATATTAATGTCACTAGCTTCTGGTTTGGGCTTGTTAAGTTCATTGGATTTAGAAGGGCCTTGCGGATACCCCTTGTCCTTAGGCTGAGGTATAACCCGCCGCAAAAACCTGTGTATCATCTCATAACTGGTGAACGTAATAACAGCAGACGGAGTTGTTCTTAAAAGATTGGTTGCACAACCACGATAAAACCCTGCAATGCCTTCCTTTTGAAACACCTTCCTAGTACAATCAACTACCCCTGCATATCGTGTCCCATTACTTTTGGCATGGCCTTGTTCTTGCAGCCTCGAACGTATCACCTATTTAAAATGTGAAATTCTAATGATTAATGACATAAATTGATGATGCTGCAATTATCTTCTACTAATAGCAATTAAGCTAGAAGACCATACATACCTCATGCGGATAAGTCATTACTGAGGCAATTACTTTTGAAATTGATGATGAAATTGCCACACTCCCAGGACTTAGCTTGTCAACAGTTGTTTTATCTGAAATATTTGAAATTTTCATTTGATGAAACAACACATGAGAAAACACAGAGAAATCCACTTATTTCAAGGACCACTTCATAAATATATAATTTAATGTTAGCATTTGTACCTTTTTCTGCCATGTATGACTTGATCTTTTCGTATGCAGGGAATTGAATCGCAACATGGCTTACGCCAGCCAAGGAAGGCACGATGCCACTGCTTCACATAAACAAAATATCATCACAACTAAATACACAAGTAACAGAATCAGGTTATCATGCTTTCAAGTTCACTATTATTTTTCCCTTCAGTAACTGGTTTGATTCTGTGCAGCATGTATGATGTGAAGGCTGTTTGTTTATGTCTGTCTGTACTTAACTTGGCATCAGGGATATAGACATGGATGGGGATCAATTGATAACGATGTATGATTTGATACACTTACCATTGAGTAACTTCCAATAGACAATGATTCTCATTCACCCAACCGTTGAATTGTTATTTTCATGTAGATCTTGCATACCAAATCTTAGAAAATTCAAACAAGAATATGAATATGATCTAGTGACTGATGTTTTCTTCTTTTTTTTCTTTAAAAGTATATAGGTACTAGAATTATTTTGGTCATCTACATTTTATGCAAAACAGTCAATTTCTTCATAATTTATCTCACTTTAACTGACTGGCATATTATTCACATTGCTTACCTTGCAGTCTTCCCAAATGCAGTTCTTTTTATGATGACAGATCTAAGTTATTTCTTTTCCAAAGAAAAGGGTTAGTAATAGTATGCACAAAGATGTTAAATGGAACTCATAGGTATGTTTCTTGAAAATAGATATTATTTGATGCAGATATGTAACAAATTGATAGGGCAGTCTAGGATATTTTAATTGAGAATACAGTTTCCCCAACCTAAAAAGAGAAAGTTAATTATTATTTCATATTATCTGCCAAGATAATGAGATAAAGAAAATTTCATCAACTCGTATTAATATATTTTTTCTCATTTACTGTAAAATTAACAGGTTATCAGTCCTGCCACTTTTTATTGAGAAAGAGATAATGCAAATAAAGACTACTACATATGCACATAAAAGGTGTTAGATATATCAAACCTTTCCAATTTCATAAAATATTAGCCCAAATTTATCAACCTTAAAATTTAACTGACCTATATAGTCCTCGCATGCCTTCCTCGCGTGAAATCCTTGTCAAAGCAGAAAGAACACTTTTGTAAGGAACAACATCAGGCCTCATTCCTTGAGTCTATAATGCGTATCAGGGAAAAATGAATTAATGTCCGATATAACAAAAACAAGAGCAAGTATCTGTATCATCACTATCAGTGAATAAATAAACTATAGAATTAATAATATTTTAATAAGAAGAGATATAGATGTATTCTAAACCTAATCCCATCAGAGATATAAATTAAAACACATTACATAAGCAACTTTTCAATCTAACCAATCAGCTGGGGTAGAAAATACATCAAGAATAGCTAAGAAACTCAAATTTACATTGAAACAAATAACGCGACAGATTCATAAGCATGTATGAAATATTGAGAAACATCTACAGTGAAAAGGACAGAGAACAGGAACAATATAAGAGAAGATTGTAGGCTCCTATTTTATATATATTTTACTAAAATTAAAGACGTGAGCAACACCAACTTACTTGGAGTCTTGTCTTAACAACCCACAGTGGATTTGTAGAAATTGCAGTTGCCGCCCCAGCACCGGCAGCAGCTATAATATTTCCAATAGTTGAGAGTTCGTTGCAACCATCTGCTACATTATCACCGATAAAGAATGTCATAAAAGATCGAGCAAGTTTCAATTCAGGATCCGAAGAAACTAAAATTGGGAAGAAAAAGTTTGAGAAATCTAATATTATACTTCTCATGACTTAAGAGAAGACCAACTGTATGTAAACAATACTCAACATTTAGATAATATTTACCATGTGAACGAAGCAGGCCCTTTAATTGCTCATAGACTGTGAAGTAAACCTACAATTGGAATAGACTTTTTGTCATTTGAAAAGATATGAATTATGAAGAGAAACTATTACAAACATATGATTAATGAATGCTTTGAGAAAGGATCTTCATAGACAAAGTAGATGCAACTGAAAGATTAGTTTTTAATTGGATTTCATATGAATAAAAAAAGTATATGTTGCTTTACACTGCTCGGGGGATGGAATTAAACATTCCTCCAGCATGAAGGCAAAAGGGGCAGTCATCTTACATGATTGTTGTTTGTTACAGATTTTCCTCTTCCAACCTCAAAATATTTTAACTTAAGGGTATCATAAAAGTACCCCATAAGTGAAAATATGAAGCTACTAATGGTCAACAACAATTAAACAAAGGTAAAGATAAGGATTTATTTTAAACAAGTAGACATGAGGAATACGACCAAACAAATTGTTCTAAATAATTTACTTTCGAAAGAGGTACAAAAACTTGTTTATTTCTCCAGATCAAAGCAGTAGTGGGAGACAGAACATAACACTAGATTCCATAAAATGATGAAGCAAATAAAGAAAGCGAAAACAAAAGCGTCAAGGACACAGAATTTGCAAACTAGTGGTAATGAATGATATGTTAGCAAGTAGCTTGATGAAGACTGTACCCTAGAGAGAATTATATAATGAGTGAGAATTTGATATGAAGATTATCCTCAGTTATATCAGACCTATGTAACTCCAGATTTTGGGTTTATTATGTCTTGCCTTTGTATGTCAATAGTTTGTCTGTATGGTATAAAAAGATGGAAGACAAAAGAATACTGAAGCATGACAGAATCAGAATAGAAGTACATCCAAAACCCTGCTTCACAGAACCTTGCATCTTCTGCTGCAACAGCCACTAATCACAACACAAAAATGTAGTTACAGAGGCAACAGATAGAGAAACTCACTGCCCAGTTTGGAAGTAATGCCAGTATTGTTGGTGAAAGGCCACGGTACATTCCCCTGAAGCCTTCAGTCCTTACTATATTCTTCAAGCTCGAGACAATGATACTACCTAGGAGAACAGCGCAAAAGTTAGGCTCGGAAAACAAACATATACCATTGACACATTGAATTGAACTAACATAACCCAGTTTCAACTATAAAATATACAAATTTCAGCTTCATGTTGAGGTCACAAACTAAACTCTAAAAGGAGAAGCACTTCTTTATTAAAAATTAATTCTCAATATTAATAGAAATTCAACATCAACCCCAGTATTGTCCATGACCCATTAAGTAATTAACAAAAAGGGTACCTTTCTGCGCAGGAGGAAGGCCATGAACTTGTAGCCTTGTCTTGATCACATCCAAAGGGCATACAAAAGTAGCCGCTATAGCCCCTGTATAATGCAATAAAGTTAATCCACCAGTAGAGAATGTCACATTGTCAAACCAGCCATTCTTGAAAATAATAGAGAATTAACAGAGAAGTGACCAGACACAGGAATTGGGAATAAAAAAAGAAGAAATTGAGAGAAACCCATTACAGCTGAACCCAAAACAGGAAAAGGGTCGAAGCCAAAATAAGAAAAGGTTACCAGCAGCGGCACCAGCACCAGCGTTGCAGATCAAACCCCTGATGTTGTTACCAGCACCAGTAGTTTGGCCATTGTTACTCATATTAGGATCTAAGAAATACCCTTATAATGCAATTCAACAAAGTTACTTAATGAATCGAAGGCAAGTAGTTCCTGTAAGTAGTGGAAGAATAGAAGGGAATTCTCATGGCAGATCTTTATGAAATTGTTTCTTTATATAACATTCCATGTGTTGAAGAGACAACGGGAAGGGAAAAAAAAATCAAAGGGGGTTTTGATATGGGGGTTAACTTGATTGAAGGGTTTGTTTATGCGGCGAATTGGTCCAAGAAAGTCGTTTCAACGTGTTTTTTTTAGGAGTGGGGAAGCCGCGAAATCAATGACCAGTCTCAGAGTTGAAACTTGAAAGACCATGCGAATTTGTTGGGTTATTTCGATTGTTTCTCTCTCTCGTTGAGTGGTTTCTTACGGGTCTTCGGGGAAATGGGAGAAGCAGATGCCAAAAGGTGGGGAATTTAGATTTGGGTTGGTATCTATGACTTGAAGCTCTATGTTTAAGCAGCTGTCCCTCTAAAATGGTGGACAAGCTATTCGATCGACAAGGCTTCCAACAAGTGAAACCTAGGTGTATATATTCGTTACGTAATTTTTTCAAGGAAACATTTCGAGTAACTTTCTTAAAATTTTGATTTATCATTATGATTTTGTGTTTTTATGATTTTTTTTTTATCAAAACGATTTTATTAATATTCCTAACGTTTTTACGATTTTTTTACATTACGATTTTACGTTTTACGCTTTTTTAATTTCCTTCCGATTTTACTTAAGATCTCGATTTTAATAACATTGATTTTAAGTTAATTGGTCGTGTTTAGAGATAAATATGGGTTTATGTTTTCTTATCTGATATAAGAAAAGGGTTTTATTAATCTCATACAATAGGAGAGAAATCTCTCATGCAATAGATATAATCATGTGTGGGACCCACTCACTATAGAAAAAGAATAAAAGAATAAAAAAGTAATACAGAAATCGATGTATGTGTAGGAGAGAAAAATTCTCCTACAACATAAGAGTATATTTTCCCATAAGACCTACAACATAAGAGTATATTTTCCTATAAGAAAATATATCTCTATCCATAGATATAATTTTTAATGTGGAATCAACTTATAATTATATAAAAAAAAAGTTGATTTGGAACTATTCACGTGTCTGTAGGAGAATATATCCTCTTATGTAATATAAGAAAACATAAATCTTATATATATTTATTCTCTTTTTATGTTTTTCCTTTTACATACAAAGAGAACAAAGACAAGAGAATAATGTGGAGTAAAGAAAATATAAAAGTTTAATAAGTGGGTTTTATATTTGTTAGGTTACATGATGTAATATAACTTTCCTACATATACAATTTTATGTGGGTCCCATCTCTTGATTTTTCTCTCTCCTTTCTTCTCTCTCCTCTCTCTTCTCAATTGTGTGTGTAAAAAGTTTATGTTATATCATGTAACATAACAAACATAAAAGATAAAACCCTTAATAAATATGTAGTAAAATAAGTTCATATTACTTAAAATTATATATAACTATATTTCTTTAAAATAACAAAAAAAAATTAATATGAACATGCTCATCAAAAATAAAAATACTAAATACAAACAATATTTTTCTCACCTGATACTCCTTTATGCATTTGAATTTTAAATATATCCTATATAATAATGGAAGCAATAGAAACAAGAAGAGAAAAAAAGACAAAGATAATCGTGAAAAAAAAATATTTACACTAAGATTTTTTGAATTGTATAAGATGTGAACTTAAATTTACTTCAAAATAACATAAATTAATTAAGTCATTATTAATTTTGTTTAAATTAAAAAATATATATTTTAAAAAAATGGGGCTTTACAATTAGAGATGAGAATCGAAAACCTTATTATGCATAATTAATTTTCAAGTGACTCAATATTTGTATGTGTTGGTTATTAGTACATTAAACTTCAATTTGTGTTTGTATATGTGTTACTTGTTATTATATTGGGCTTTGATCAAATTAACTTAAAACTAAAAAGGATAAATTTGTAAAAAAGATTTATAATGTGATTTGTGTTCATCTTAAAAACCTTTTCCGTTAAATTGTACCTAAATGCTTATATATAATTATAGAATCATTAAAATGATATAAAAAATAACAAAATTTACTAAAGAATTTTTTATTTTATTTTTTGTTTAAAAAACAAGTTTTTGAAACAAATTTATCAAGCATAATTTTTACTTTAACTTTAAAAAAAATTCAAAATAAATTTACCAAATAGATTCTTTTTATTTTAAAATATAATTTTAAAAATTATTCTAGAAAATAATATTCAGAAAAAAAAATCGAAACATAATCAATCATGCCTTTAACCTCACAACACTTTTTATATATTCTTTAAAAATAGTCACCTTAAATTAATGACATAAATTATCAATAAATTTGCTTTATCCTTAAAAAAAAGTAAAATCGAAAATTATCTAAAATTAAAAAAAAATCTGATCTAAAATATAATCTTCTCAGGTGTTTCAAAAAAAAATGTTGATCTAATCAAAACAAAACTTTAATTAATTAATGTCTACAAAAAAAATTAAATAAAACCAGTTGCAGTAAACACTAAAATTTAACTATAGACGAGGTAGGAAATTTTTACTATTAAATTTTGCTACTATCACTCCACTACAACTTAAGTCATTATTGGATTAGAGAAAAAGTTGAATAAAGAGAAAGAAAAGAATAACAACTTTTGAATCCAATGATGATTAAAGTAATAGTGGAGTGGTAATAGAAAAATTTGGTAGTAAGAATATGCTACCTCACTATTGATAACATAAACATCTCATGTATACATAAAGATAAGTTATAGGTGTTTCCAAAAAAAGAAAAAAGAAAAGTTATAGGCTACATATGTCTTAATATGAATAAACATAGGGTTTAATGAATCTCGCACGAGACTCACTCTCTCCAACCAAAGACACAAAACAACATGTGTAACATTTCGGGCACTAACGACGGTGGGGAATAGATAGTCCCTTGGCACGTGGGTGCCTAGAGTCCAAACTCGCTAAGGTAGGAAGGCTATGACAGTAGGCTCCTGAAAGGTTTACAGCGGGAGGGGTACATAAATGAATTGAGTCAACACCCGAACGAGAGGGATACAGAGGCTGTGCAAGTATGAGACTTTACAATTGATGATAGCTTAAAGGAATTAATATGTACTACATATACTAATATGCATCTACTTTTCGGTAGCCCATAACTTAAGATGTAATATCCAAATAATAATATTGTAATAATAAGTTTAATTATTGTATAAAATAAGATATAACTAATAGTATTATAAAATATATATAAACAGTTCAATTTACATGGATACTTACATAAATTCATAAAAAAAGGATGAACATTTTATATAAGTTTACAGTCATATGTATTGTATGTATTCAAAATTTTACTTTTATATAAATAATATATTATAAATTTATCAATAAATATTTTTAGCATTTAACGATGTAATATATATTAAAGAGATATGAGTATATTATATGGTACTTTCAAAGTAATGCAATAAACAACATGCTAAATATATTTAATTGACAATCAGTTATATACATGTATAATCTCTTTATAAGAAATATTACATTTTATAAACATTTTATGTTACACAAATATAATAATAGAATGAAACAAAAATATATATATATATATATATATATATATATATATATATATATATAAAACAATATAATATATATCTTAATAAAATAAAATAATAAGAATAAATAAATATATTAAAGTATTAATAAATAATTACCATAATATATATAAAGAAAAAATATATAATAACTTGGCAAGGAGGGGGCCACGTGGAACAACCCCCTCGAAGCCACATTTGATAAGCATCAAAGATATTTTGTTTGCTTAAGTAATCATTAAGATTCTAATAAGATTTTGTTTAAAAAAAATAAAAAGTATAAAAAAGAGAGGAAAGTTAGAAACTAGCGACTATATATATAGATATATGTTTAACCACCTCCCTTCATCATGTAAAAGTAAAAACAAAGAAGAAGAAAGAAACAGAGACTTGAGGAGTTGAGAAGAACGACAAGAACGTAGAGGAAAAAAAGAGAGAGAGGTCATGTTGATGGATTAACTTATTCTCTTATTCTTCTTCTTTATAATTTAAGGTTGAATTTTTATGTAATGGTCATGCTACCCTGTCAAAATTCTTCTTGAGTTCTTTTCTACTTGACTTTATTCTATTTTATTTTTATCTTTAGTTTTATCTTTTAATTTTATTTCTATGAAATTGGTTATAAAACCATTAATTCTTTTGGTACCGAATGAATGTTAATAAAATGTGTAAATTTAACTGTAAGATTCTCATGTGAACTGAGCCACAAAGATTTAGGTTCAGATGACAATACTGTAAGGGACGCCTTACTTGGCTTGAGCTCCGCCATATAGAACTTTTCACATGTAGAGACCTACAAAATTGGGCATTTAATTAATTTTAGTTAATATTACATAATTTACTATTTAATCTTATTTATGATATTACTTCATTTTATGAAACTAGTTAAGAGAATAAGATTTTTCGTTATTACGGCCGGAATGGTTATAGTTAAAAAACCTCAATATTACTGAGATTTTCTCACGTGTGTTTTGTCTTATGCTAACATTTCCAGAGAATCATCATGCCTAACCTGTGTTTCACTGGTCAATGATAGGGGATATCCATCTATTTCTTTGAAGACCGTTCTGAATTTTATATTGTGGTGGGGAATCAAGAAGTTGTTGATGTATTTTATTAAGACAGAGTAGAAACCTATATATATCGAGTAGATTAGATGAAGTTGAATTAGTGTACGACTTGTGACTTCAGTAGTTGAAATGTAATATATGTACTTGTCTGATGTAATATAGCTAGGAAGTAGAAACTGATGTAAAATGGTTTGAATGTAAAATATATGTACTTAACTTGGTACCATGTATAAAGTAACTTAGAAAGTTGGTATCGATGTTTATATTCTATATGTAATTGTTCTTATTGTTGAGGTATGGTTAAAGAAATAATGTGATATTCTCTATACTAGTTAGATATAGAGGATGTAACATTTTATGGTATCAGAGCAGCAGTTCAGGTAAATAAAAAATCTAAACTATTATAGTTGCTTGGTATTTTGTCATAGATCATGTATATTTTGAGTTATTTTCTTGAGACCTGATCAACTCACTATCATAAAATAATGTATGTAGATTTATGGCAGATACACGGCAGATATCTTCAACTTCTGAACTAGAAGTTAACCCAGTAACAGATGTGTTTACCCTTGTGGCAGAAGCTCTTAGAGAACAAATTGTAAGTAATCAACAAATTATTCAAGAGCTAAGGGAGGATCGTGCAACCAGAAACCATAACCATAACTATGAAAGTGAAAGTGGACCTACAACTGCAAATGCTCAGGGAGGACTTAAT